TTTCTTCTGCTTTTGTGAAAAGTCACATGTTGTGGAGCTGAACTTGAACATCAAACCTCATATTCATTATTTCTTAGCACTTTTGACTTCCTGTACAAGTTTTAACTTCTTTCTTTATAATGGAGTCACTAGCTGTTTAAATCCATGGATGAAAAAGGAGTTTGTGCATAATGTGAGTTTGATGTTCAGAAAGTGGTAACCACTTCCAGTATGTGAAAGAACTTGTTCTCATGGATGTCTCAAAGTGCTCTTCAAACACTAAAGTCCAGCAAATTTTGTCTGATTTCCCCTTTGTTTATCAAAAGCTGAATGTAATCAGGTTTTCTGCGTGGTGTTATTAATCACCTTAGCCTTCTCAACAGAGTTTTAGAATGTAACACATTATTTACCCTTTTTTCTATGTAATTCTTCCTTTCCTGCTGTGTGAAGTATTTTTATTTCTCTAGTTTCAATTACTAGTGAGCTTCGAGTTGTTAAGTTAAAAATACTGTGACCTGCAGGTCATTGAAGGAAAACTATTTAGCTAAAGGTTTCTGTTACTTTTAAAAATCAATCCAGTGACAATCTTTCTCATTAAAGTTTATTTGAAGGAAAGTTATTTTTACACAAGTTTTCAAGGCTAATTTGACTGAGGCAGTGTTCATTTGATTTTTTAATTTTTTTTACAGTATGTTTGCCTGCTCTGTTTATACCTATTGCTTTCTATTTATTCTTAAGCTGTGTTTCTTTTTCAGCTTTTTCCACTTAAACTTGTTTTTTCTTGTGTTGTAAATCAGCAGAGGTCCACACATCCTCAGTACTGCTTGTGTACAAACACCTCTTAAAATAAGAGACTTAGGTGTTTACATATAGCAGCTTATGTATTCAAGTAGGAAAATGTGGGCAGTGTCTTATACCTTTCCTAGTATTTTTACAGCATTTTCCAAATATGGTATTCTGCTTTATAATCACACTGCCTAAAATATTTGCTCTAAAGCATGTAATAAGATGCTTTGTGTATAGGTTTTTTTCTTGATTGGGAAGCTTCTTAATTAACTTATCTGTCAAATCAGACTTATGCACTAGAATCCATTCTAGTTAGCTGTGCTTAAATTAAAATGATTGCTTTAATGTATTTTGAGACGTAGCGAAATAGATTAATTTGAATGCTTCAGGTAAGGACAGCTATCTCCTTCAAAATAGTTTTGAACCCTAAGCCAGAAGAAAATATAATAGCCAGCTCTTTTGTGTACATTATTTTCACTGTTCATTTACCGAGTATGAAAATGAGATGATTTGCAATGTCTTAGCAGGCAGACATGTCATCCATTTTGTAAAACAGTGGGACTTAGTTTAGGAGAATGGTAATTTGTTCTTAACACTTGAATAATGCTTTTCATCCATAGGTCTGTGAACATGTCAAAAAGATGACTTATTATCCCAGTTGTATAAAAAGAGTCAGAGACACAAAGGACTTGCACAGGTGCATACCCCCAGTTTATACCAAATCCAGAAGTAAAATCTGGGAATCTTCACTTGCTGTATCCTGTGCTGGTTTTGCTACAAGAGGTCAGGATTCTGACCTCTATGTTAGAAACTTGATCATATTACATGGGTTTCTTGTTTGGAGGTGTTAACCCTTCTTGTACCCCCTACTACTATGAATTTGTGCCCAGTAGAATTATGGAGCAACAGAAAGCCCAGAGAGTTTTTAAAGTGCTGTGAATGCCACACCACCCTCTGGCTGTATATAATGAAAATGCACGTGCCTAGGACTTTGAATTCTGAGTTTGTAATCCTGGCTAAATCTTAGGTGCAGGATCTCTTGTATGGGGCTACATTAGACCTGGGTTATGGAAAAAATTTGGATTTTGGAGAAGAATATAAGAGGAATGAAGAGGTGAATCAGTGCCCTGTGTAATGATGAGATAATTATTTGCCCAAAAATCAGGGCAATTCCAGGCTTAGAATGGAAAAAACAAATGTTTCCCAAGCTACTCTTTACCCTGTTAGAACCACAATGTCTTGCAATGAAATGCCTTATCAAGCCTTTGACCTCATTTCCGTAAGTTTTCAGGAACTGGTAGTTTTTACTTCAGGTTTTACTAACCTTTAGTCTTTTTGGTGTGCTGGAGTGATCAAAGTGAGTTGCAGTTCCAATCTGAAAGACCAGTGGAGTAAGTGTTGCAGCTAGATTTGCACCTGTTATTTTGTTCCTGTGACTGTTTTGCTTGGCAAAATGTTGTGGACAGTTTAAACCTGCTTGGAAGGTCACTTTTTTGGTGATCAAAAGGAAAACATGCAAGGACAGTACTGATGCAGTTACTACCCCCTGTGGGGGCGTCAGCAGTTCAGAAACCCCTGGTGGATTTCGCTGGCAATTTTTTTTTGTTGTATTCATAAATACAGAATTATGTTTTAAAAGATGAGTTGATGTGCAGATATTTTCATGGTATTGCTATGAACAGAAGGGACCCTTGTGTATTTTTACAATGTGGTAAATATTTGCTGAATGAGTAATGTGTTGGTAAGTTTATCTTCCAGCTGAATCGAGTTTTAAATCACAATCAAATGAATTTTTACATCGGTTGGTAGGGGTATTCTATTGAAACAATATTCAGCAGTGGTTGAATTTACAGTTGTGATTTTAACTGTACACTTTAAAGGCGCATCTGATTTTATAAATAAAACTGAAAAATGTGCTGCAAAGAACTGTTTCAAATGTGTGTTTACTTTTGTTCTTGATAATTTGTAGAAAATAGATTTTTAAGGATATATTACATTCTGATTGTACATAGGTTGGGGTACAGTGGACATTGGGTTGTGGGTACAGTGAAAATGGTCATTTAGTGGCCACTTGTGCTGTTTTGTTGAGGGGTTTTGTAATTGTTTGATTTTTTCAGTTGCACTCTACCCTTGCCCCTCTAGGACATATTCTTTCCTTTCTAATTATATTCCGCAAAGAAGGACAAGCACCTTTTGAATGTGAAATATTATATCAGGATTTGTAAACTGTTGGGATTTGGTGTGCAGGATTTAAAGGTTCTGCCTCTGCTAATCTTGTTGGGAACTTTTTGTTCTAGAGGAAGTGCAAAGAAAAAATTGCAGGCTTAATTCATAGGTATGTCTTACAGAGCAGTGAAGTTCTTAACTAGTTGCAGAGAAACAATTTGCTTATCTCTTTCTGCTTTAAGGGACCTAACAGAGAGATGTGTGTGATCAACAGTGCTTAAAGAAGCCTGTGGGAGAAAGGCAAAGTCACTGCAGGGAGTGTAAGGTACAGAACAAAAGATGTAGCATCGTACTGAAATTGGTAAAGAAAGAAGTAATCTTAGATGAGCATGTAACTGAAGGTGCTTCTGATAAGTGATGCAGTTCCTTGAAACACAGGCATCTTGAAGATAAACCATTAGCAATGATATATCCAATGATATATTGATTTTTTTTTTTTTAAAGGGTGATTTGATCATTCTAAGCATACTTAAAAATGTGAGTCAAATCATCTAGCTATTTTTGGTCAAAAAAATGAGGAAAAGTAAATAGGCTTGTGAAATGAAAAAGTGGTTCTATGTTTTTATTCAGAGATCTAAGCAATGTCAGCCCACCTATGCTCCTGCTTTGTCAATATTTGAAAATATATGTGTCTTGTAGTCTTCTCCTACAAGTTTTTATTGGCTGATGAGGTAGCAGAAAAAGAGTAATTTCCAGACAGGCACTGACTTGCTCCATTGTGTAAGAGAAGGATGAATGTTCAGAAGATTACAAATAGCTGCACAGGGCATCCAGCTGCCCTGACTTTCTGAGGACATTTTTCTCTGTTACAGCTGGCATCATCTGTCTTGTAATTTATGTGAAGTGAACAGGCTGCTTCAAGCCTGTAGGCTTTGTTTAAATAGCAAAGTCGGAGATTTATGATGTATACTGTTGAGATCAGTGTAGCCTGTGTATCACTGTTAGGTGAGTTTACTTCAAGATTTCTGTGAGCCTTGATTGGCATGAGATTTGTGCAAAATATGTATTGAGTAAGGTAGGGTTCACAGCTCAGACAGTTTGTGCATATTATCAAGATTGGCATCACCCAGAGACAACTCCTGACTGTTTAGCTCTGTTCCTTCCAGATATTATCAGGAGGGTACCCAGGATTGAGAAAGTATGGTGGTACTCTGCATATGAGTAGACTCATATGAGTCTATGAGACTATGCATATGAGTCTTCAGACTAGAAGAATTTGGCAGCTGCTATTTTGTCCTCTCCCTTATTTACATTACATGCCAAGATACAACAACATTGTCAGTGAGTGGTAGCTCAAGGGAACAAATCTCACTGCCCTTGAGTGCTCAAGCAGGAGGTGGCTTGCCCTAGTAACACATATTGTCTATATCCATGTGTCACCTTCCTGTATCTGTGTGTGCAGCCACATAAGTGCAGGTCACAGCCACAGAATCTTTTAAATGGTGTCATTCCTGCCTCCACTGGCTGTCCGAATCTAGATGCAAGCCTTGACATTGACAGCCTGGGTACCTTTGGCTTGATGATAACCAGACACAATTCTTAAAGCCCACGCTATGCACAGACAGCCCTGTTGTCATGGGTAGCTGGGGGCTAGGCAAGGTGCTGCAAAGAAAGAGTTGTGGGTCTCTTGAGTGAACAAGAGAAACTTGTCTCCAGCAGTAGTGAGAGTGGATGCTTGATCCTGACGTGTGCTCATTGGTTTTGTAGTGCCTTGGGGATGGCAGGATGGGACTGGGCACTGTTAATCCCTTACCAGCTCGTCAGGGAATGCAGCAATGACCCTTTCTTTCTGACACCCCAGTCTACATCAAGTGACAAAGGAGAAAGTCCTCTTGACTCTGGACTTAGACACAGTTGAGGCATTGCTCTTCTGGGAGGTTTCATAGGACCTCATGGAAATCTTGCTTCCCCTGCCCAAATTCTTTGTGTTGTATATTTATCTCTTTGTCCCATTAATTTCTTCCTGTTGTGCTCAGCTCTAAGAAAATACTACATTGGTCACAGCATAATTGCAAAATATCAAGAATTTATTCATTTCCAAGTAGCGTAGAGTCTAAAGTTAGGCGCTGCCTTCATGTTTCTTCATTCTCATTTTAAATCAAGCAAATCTATATACACGTTTTCAGACATCTGTATAAATTATGCAACCTGTCAGGAGGTTTCCTGTTTACACACAGTATTTCCAGAAGCACTCGGAAAGATTCCCACGTTTCTTGTACTGTTTCCTGTCCTTGGTCAAGAAGCGTCCCAGCAAAGCAATTCGAGGATGATTTCCGTAGAAAGTCTGAAGTCAAACAGCATTAGAGAGGTTACTGTTGGATGGTACTTGTTCCCAGTGGGAAAGTACACTCTTCACTGCCCTGACTGATCACCCAGCCCTGTGTTGTGACTGGGAGAAGGAGAGGCAGCTGCCCAGTGTGCCCTCTGATTTAGATGATGCACTAAAATGAGTCACTGTCTTCTGCATTTGTATTTAATTCTGCAGGAAGTGAACAGGGATTATGTTCTCCATGTACCTAATGGTTTATAACACATCTGATAATAATACTGTGTAGCCTATGCTGTAGTGTGTGTGGGGGGGAAATGACATGCAGCTAACACTGGTGCCTGGGGCTAATGAAGCTGAAAATTGGCCTTTACTTAGAAAACTGTTTTTCTGGGGCAAAAAAGGTGGAGGGTTTAGAATGAAGTGCTCTGGATTACCTGCTCTCTCTGTTTTCCTTTTCTTTTTCCACTTTTCCCCCCTCCCCTGCCTATCTTAACTGCTAAGTGATTCCAGTTTCAAGAACACTGTGGCATGCTACTTTAGTCTATACTGTTTATGAAGTCTGTGGATCTGAAATGATGTCTTAGTAACAATTCTGTGTAGTTTAAATTGTGGAATCTTATTTTTCTTGTTTCAGTGACAGATGGTCATTTACTTACCGCTTTGGTATATTCCCCTGGGTTGTAGTTGCTGGGAGTAAGACCTGGTAGAGGGGAGACACAATGAAATGTTTTACCATTTAGAAATTGTAAACTTAGACAAATAATTCTCATGTGCCATAATGCTATAGCTGACAGAACTCTTGAACTGGAATGTTCAGAGGACCAGGCAGTAACATCTGTTGCTCCCCAAACCATCCATTGCTATTGATTCTGCACTTTCTGCAGTATTGATGTTATGTAAGACTGCTATTTTGTTTTGTCTGCCAGCTTCTTTAAGGCCAATCTTTGCCTTGCCCTAGTTTTGCTATATGGAGGTTTTGCTAAACTCCTTTGGAGGCTTTATCAGGTAGTGTTGAACTGCAGGCATGGTTGCTCAGTGGGTTTCCCCAAGGTCCCAGTTAACTAAATGACAGCAGTCTGTTGCCTACGCATAATGTTGTATTTCAGTAAATACCTGGGAGTTGGGGCACAATATCTGTGGAAGCTGGAGATACAAACCATGGGCGCTCTCCCATTGCTGTGATAAATCCTCACCTGCTTTGTTGTCTTCAGTCAGTGTGCCCAAGAGCTCTGGCAGAAACTGAATCAGAGAAGTGCTTCCTGGGCTGCCCAGCCTCTCCAGGTTTAATCTCGAGTCTTCATCAGCTGCAAATGGAATATGATAGACACAGGCATATGGTGAGTATTTTGCTTTGAATTCCTGTTTCAGTCTGTCTCAGGTGATTTCTGATCAGGTCTGTTGGCTCCATCTGTTGAAAATTTTCATAAAAGCACCAATCATTCATCCTCATTTAATGATTATAATAGGGGATAGTTGGTTTTGTGGTTTTTTCCTTCCAAAGCTTTGAGAAAAGGTACTTTCCTGATGTTAATCTCAGATTTCTCTGTCAGATGTTTTCTTAGGAAAGTTTTTTGACCAACAGCAGCCCCTCTCATTGCTTGAGGAACTCATCCTAATCCTTCCAGTACTCAGCTGTATGCATGGAGACTTGTGTATATATATTTTTTTTCTTATTTTAACTCCATTTCTTTATCAACTAGTTCCTATGCTGGAGCTTTTCTATGAACAAAGACAAAACTTCAAGAGCTATTAACTTGCTCAGTTTCCCAACTATTAAATGCAATAAAAGGAGGGGGAAGGGCAGGAATAAATGTAGGGAATCTTACGATTTATTTTGGCAGCTAAGCCTCTCAGTGTGTATCAGTCCTCTCTCAGTTAATGTGCATACCAGTACAAATGTTATTACTTTTTCTGAAACAACAGTTTGCCGGTAGCTGATAGAATTAATTTGTATATGCATAGAGAATTTAAAATTCTGTGGCCAGCCTGTGCCCCATGGCAGGTGGCCAACAGAAGCCCTTAGCAGTGCTACGCTTGAGGTAACTTTTGTAATTTCATCTTTGCTAATATAAAGCAGACATTCAAAATTGTGGTTATCAAACATTAGTTGTGTATGTGACTGCCATTTTGTAGTTGCATGCCTAGCTGACACTATGGAGTTTCAGTTGCTCTGAACTGCAGGGATGGGTATGACTGTATAGCTCCTCAACAGGGAATATATAAGAAAATAAACTGCTGAAAATAATCCCCCAACATTTCAGAAACTTGGACAGAGAACAAGAACTTGAAGACCTTGGACATCTGTGTTAATTATTTGTTCACTGCATAAAAGGACAACTGCAAAGTGGGGTTTTTATTGTAAGACTCAGAATAAGAATACAGTAACTTTCCTGTGCTGTGTGGAAACAATTCATATCTCAGGCCTTGGATTATTCTTTAAATCAGAGCAGTGTTAGTGGGTAAATTTGCTTTGAGATTAAAGACAAACAAACAAACAAAAAAAAGCCCCAAACCAATCCTCTTCAAAACAGTTCCTCTTCTATCTTATCAGTCCTGGAGACTCTTTATATTAGTAAGGAAGATTTAAGAAGCCTAGTGGATGTCTTCGAGCAAATGCAATAATGGTTAGAGCCATCTTATTCACTCTGTGATGTGATAGGTATTATCCATACTGAATCAGGGTTACCTGTAAGTGCAGGTTACATAGTGGAAAGCTTAAGAAGATGCTGGCTTAGTGAGTCCAAGATTTTCAAAGCAAACTAGGGACTACTGATACCTATTAACCAGCACAACAGCTGGTGCACCAGCAAAGCTGGTAAGAACAGTGACTTTTTAATAGTCAGCTTTAAGCAATAACTTTGGGTTTGATTTGCCTGTTCTTTCAGAACACATTTCAGAAAGTCTTCCAGTACAAATCAGGTCTGGTGACAGTAACCTTCCAGACTCTGCTGTGCATTTTTACCTAGCCATTTCAAACTTTGAAGATAGCTTTTCCAAGCAAAGATTTATCCTTTCCCTGGGCTAAATTGGATCTGAATTAGTGCAAACAAATTGCATGCTCGATACATAGGAGTGTAAGACAGACTTGCCTGTTGATGTTTGTGGTTGGTTTCCCCCTTTTTAAGTACAACATAGCTCGCTTCAAAGGGTAGGAAGAGGAGAAACTATATAGCCAAGTTTCTTTAAGTTATCCAATGCCTACAAATGCTCAGACACTAAATACCAGCTCACATTCAGTGTTGGATACATACTTTTGTTTCCTGGATCTCAAAGCAGCAGGGATAAATATTTAGGGCACCCAACCTCCCCATTTTACAAGATCGGCACCCACTGATATATCACTTGCACTACTGGTTCTGAAGGCATTCCTGTTTTTTCTACAGCTGATCAGCACAAATCAAGGCCCCCCTCGGAAAGCACACCTGCCTCTTTTCTGCTTTTATTGTTCCTGCCCCTGCTTTATAATCATTAAAATCAGAAGACTCTTACCTGAGAGTTGATAAGACATCTCACTGGTGTTGATGATGGGGAGAGACGAGAGAGGACAGGAGAAGCTGACAATAATGAGACAGCAGAATATCAGCTTATGCATCATTGCTGTGTTGAATATGTTTTGTCTTTGTCTACCCCTGTAACTCAGAACTCCTGTCTGAGTGTTGCCTCTGCTGCCAGTTTCTCCCATTATATACCCGCTCATGACTTCATAAATATCATCATGTTCTCTCCCCCCTTCAAAAAAAATTCCAATGAATTTATTGCCCATTGATTCTAAATGGGAACCACTTTGCATTGATGTAATTTTTCAAGGTAACAGTTCATAGACAATAAATTTACTGTCTTATAGCTTGGTGTACAAAATGGATATTATATCAAACCAAGCACAGTAAAGTTTATAAATCTGGCATTTAAAAAAAAGTAACTTCCAGTTATAAATCATGAGTTAACAAAAGGGTCAGACGTTGGTTGAAATGACCAGGGCAATAAGACAGCTGATTTATGAGCCTTAGCAGGCTTGACGCAAAGCATCTGATATGAAATGAACTTTTTTTTTTCCTTTTGTGAGATAGATGAATGTGTTGTGTTGTGTTGTATTTGGGGCTCTTGTGCCAGAAAAAGTAAAAGAAAAAGGGAGTTAAAACATCTAGTTAATTTACAAAGATAGTATTAGGGGAATTCAATTTTTTTTGTTTGTTCTGCCCCCCTTGCAGCATTTCACATCTATTTATTTGAGAAGACCTCATCCAATGTTGCCCTAGAGAACTGTCTTGGCAGAGAAAGCACAACTTCCATCTGGAGACTTGCTTGGTACATATAAACTACTTTGGCTGATATTAAACACAGGTCCATCAGTAGACTGGGAGACCCTTTTCCATTTCACTTCTCTTTCAGTTGGAACTAACTATCTAATTCTGAGAGTTCTAGCAATGTTTTTTCTGTTTGCCTTTTGCTTTTACTTAATGCTAGTACAGTAGCTGCCTTAGGTAATCTCATCATGCTAAAGCTTATTTCCCTCCATCTAGCATATTTTGTCTTCTCTACTTACAATTTCATTTTTCATATCAAAGAGCAAGGACTGACTGGACTGGTCCCTCATCTTCATTCTCTATGAAATGTCATATCTAACTGTACAGAGCCTTGAAAATAAAAAAAAAATAAGTTTATGGCTGTTTTCTTTCCTTTAGATGGTGAGAAGATAATGCCTGTTCATAACAAATTAAGGTTCGTTACTTTTCTCTAATCAAATGTTTTTGTCTTGAAATGCTCTTCAAAATACTATGGAATCCAGCTAATATTACTAAAGTTCTTTCCCTATGCTGAATTTTGTGATAATTTTAAGTTGCAAAAGGTGTAAACTTATCTACTTCTCATCTTTTTCCTTTATTAACATTTCCTGTTGAAGATTAATTTTTATATTGTACATCCAGTGGCTTCCAGGACTAATTTCAAATTAGCTACATTGGTCATATAGAACAGATGTATTTTTGCTGCAGGTCTAATTCAAAGAGAGCACGTCCCAAATGGGCATGGTTAACAGGTTGTCCAGAAACACAGTGGCCTCTGAAAGAGCAGTTGAGGTCAGAAGGCACCTCTGGAAATCATCCAGTCTAATCCACCTGCTCAAAGCAGGATCAGCCAAAACAGTTCGTCCAGAAGTGTGTCTATTCAGGTTTGAATAGCTTCAAGGATGGAATGGGACAGAATTTGAAAACTAAGCGTGACAAGGCCCTGACCATCCCCATGTAAGTTCAAATGCTCTGATTTGAGTGCAGACTGGGGTGTGGGAGAGGTGCGAAATTAACACCACGACAACACCCTGACTCCAACAGTTGATCCTGCATGATAGCTTGCATGATAGCTGGATTGGATTTTAGGTCTTATCAGGGTGGGTCTGTCCTGCCACAGTCCCGCAGAGGTCCTGCCAGCCTAAACTTTTCTAAACTGCCCTATGTGCACAGAGAGGGTTAGTTTTGCCTTACAGAACACATGCTGCAGGTGTCTGAACTACAGATCCTGTTTCTCTGGACTTCTCTTTGCTGAACTGAGTATTGATGACAAAAGAATTTCTTTACAAAATTAAGCTAATACATTTTATACTTCTCTTTATCTGTGCTTCCCTAAGAGAGAAATAAGAAGCAAGAGAGGAATTCTTGCTCCTCATCTGAGTCATGCAGCTCTTCATTCCAAAACTGGAGACAGTAATTAGGTCTGATTTGATGCATGATCTCACTGTTGGTGCTGGATGCTCTGTACAAATGCTTCTCCTTCAGTGAACTATCAATGACAATGGTGTTATCAATATTCACTCTAAGCATCCTCCAAAGAAAGCTAATGAAGCACTCTTCACAAGCAACTTCTGTCCTTTGTCTTTTCTCAAGGAAGACTCAGCCTCTTAGAGCCATCATGAAGTGCGTCATATTCAAGTTGGGCAACTTGCCCACAGCTTATTGCCTTTACTCAGATTTGAAGTTGTCACTTAGACACTCTTTCCTCTACCAAAATGTCAAAGGCATTTCCTTCAGGGGACAGTGCACACGTCATCATGCAAAGCAAAAAAACAGCTCATACCAAACAAAGGTACAAGGCCCTGAATCCATGGATGAGGGAAGTAAATGTGAATTGCACTGTGAAAACTGGGAATTTGATTCGCAAGAAACTGATTTAGTTTCTACCAAAATTACTATTTTGTGGGAAAACTTTTCAAAGTTCTTATTTGTGCTAATAGACTTTCTTTCAAGAGCCTCAGTTTAAAATAACAAGGCACATAGTAGTCCAGATAAATTACTCAGAAAATTCTAAGCAGTAAGTGTATATGAACCCATCATAAAAGATTATCCTTCATTATCAGAAGAAATAACTCCTCTTGGTTTAAAGTGATGGATGGCTCATGAAGTACAAGTTGCAAGAAAACTTTTTAAAAAAAGTAAAAATAAGACATAATGAAACCAATCAAAAACACCTCCCAAAATTATCTACCTTCTCTGTAAAATAGCAAGGATGAAATCTAATCTGTAATGCAACAGTTCTTTCTCCTGTTTTAAGTCCTTTATGGCAAGTAAGCACAAACTGTACATTAGTCAAGTATTGTGACAGTTGGCAAAACCAGAAATTTCAGAAAAGGTGTGAGTTACCAGTAGCATTTGTATGAGGGACTTTTTCAGAGGATATAACTTCTGATTTTTGGCTTGAATTTAGCTTGCAAGAAGAGGTGTGCAGTAAAGTGATTTTGTATTGACACTGTAATTGCAGATGAGCTTGTTATTGTGTAAATATCCAGCTCTTCCGTGAATTTTACTAGCATTTTTAACTTAACATCTTCTTTCAATGAGTTATACATGTCAGCTGGTATGAAAGAAAAGAATATATGCACTGCTGTTTACTTTTCTAGTAGGGTCTAGCATGTAGGGGCTTGGGGGTTTCTGCTTTGCTGTCGCTGCTGGTTTAGCAGATATCTGTCCTTATTAACATCTAAGAAGTTTACTGTCTTAAAATTTAACATTTTAGCTGATTATTCAGCTTCATAACATGATTATTAGATCTATTTTGCATACCAAAATAGATGCCTTGTGAGATCCTATATGCAATAAGATGATTTTTTTCCTGACAACTAGCTTGCATTGCCTTATTTATACTCTGCATTTTAGTGTTTACTGAAAATGGCCTGTTTGGAGACTAAGCTGACCAAAGAAAAAAACTAACCATACTTGGGCACTTGCTGTTAACTTTCTTTTTGAAGATACTTCTTCTGCTCACTGTGTGTGAACTGTGATGTAGCACGTCACACGTTTCTCTGTAACCTCATAGACGTATTTCAGTATTCCTATCCTCTGAATTTCTTTCAATATTAGGTAACATCTGCGAGAGGTTCTGACTTAAATTTTCTTGTTCTGTGGTGGGCTGAAGTGCATAGGTGAGTGTGCGTGCATACCTGAACACATAGGTCTGTGTAATGCAGATGGCAGGTCCATAGGCCCTTCTGAATATATTTTATTTTGGTACAGAATTGGCAAGTGGTCTAAAAATTCTTGAGCACAGGATCACAGCTGCCAAAACCCTGCTGCTCTGTAGTATAGGTTCCACCAGTTTGAGGGAGGAGAACCCTCTTGCTCTTTGGCCCTGCTGGACTGGCCCACTGTAGTCAGGGTATATTTTCCAAGTGAAGCTTGACAAACTGGTTCTTAATTCTCCTGTCCTCTGAGCACTACAGAATTACAAAACTGAAGCTTCACTCTGTTTGATGTGAAGGAAAGTAAGTCTGGCATGACTGGAGCTTGGAAGTCCAGCACATCAGTATCTTATGGGAATTGAATTCTGGATAACACAGCCACAAACAGAGGAGCAGAGACCTGATCTTGAAATAAGGTTTCTTTCACAAAAAATGTAATGGAACTAACTACGCAATTATAGTTTATTTTTAAAACTGAAATTATGAGAGCAGACAGTATAAGGAAAGAAAGGAACACATCTGCAGCAAGGCTGGAACTTTCTCTGTACCCTTCTAGCGCTATCCCAAGGTATCCTAAATAATCTGTTCACTTCTAATAAGAAATTATGATCTGGATAAAAGCAGAATAAAATCTTCTTTATTTAATTTTTCAGGTCATCACACTAATCACAGAAAGGAGTACAAAGTAGCCTTGATGAAAGGCACAGGCTGTTAATCAGCTCTGTCAGTCCTTCCTCCACATTTCACCAGTCCCACCCATAGAGCAGGTGGGAGCCTTGGGCTCATTTCTTGGTAGGTGCACATGTTTCTGCAACACTGCTGCACTTGGAAACGGCAAAAGTTTCCGATTTGGGTTTCTTTGTCGCAGAAAACTCTGTTGTGAGGCATTTTCAAGGGAAAATACTGGATTTTTAGAGACCTTTTAATAATCCAGAGTAGTCCAAATTGGCATGCCAGTCCTTCCTGGCATGGGGAGTGTAGAAGCAGAGAACTATTGGGAAAGAACTGGGGCAGGTGAACATATTTTCCTGTTGGGTTTTCTGCACAGGGCTGGACTGACTCGTGGGTGGCTGTATTTTGTATTTTTTTAAATTTTATATCGGCCGGGCCCGGGGCACCCTCAGAGCTCGCCGGAAGTGGCTCCGCGCCGGCAGGGGGCGCTGCGGAGCCTCGCGCGGTGTGGCGGGAACTGGAGGGGCTGGGGGAGCACAGTGTGAGTGTGGGGGGGTCGGGGTGTGTTTGGCGGCTCGGGGGGGTGTGTTTGGGGGCTCGGGGGGTGTGTTTGGGGGCTCGGGGTGTTTGGTTGGGTTTGGGGGGGGCCGTGTGTGCGTGTTTGGTTGGGTTTAGGGGGGTCAGTGTGTGTTTGGTTGCGTCTGGTGGGGTTCGGTATGTATGTGTTTTTTGGGGTTGGTGTGTGTTTGTGTTTGGTCACGTTTGGGTTTTTTTTCATTTTTCTCTTCTGAGAAAGGTTTTATCTCTGTTCCCTTCTTGCATACATGTTTCTCAGCTAAAGGACTCTCACCTGGTTTTTTTAAGAATGATTAAATACGGTCAAGAGACTTTTTCCTCTGGAAGAAGTATGTACTTGTATATACTATGTATTCCTCAGGCATTGTTTTTTCTTGAATAGCCTCACTGATAGGAGTCAACATCATTTATAGGCCTTGGAACTGTATCAGAGGCTCAGCTTACTAAAGACCACACAAACATCTGTGTGGATCAAAGCAAAACAGACCAGTCAGAGTCAAGGCAATCCTGCTGCAGAGCTAGATGACTGCTGCATACTATGACATTTTTCATTCTTGTTCTTTTCTTAGACCACTTATTATTTTTTAAGAAGATTATTGAGGGGTTTTCCAAAGAAATTATTGTCCTGGAGCCTGCCCACACAGGTATCTGTTCAGCTGAGGATTTAAAGGAAGGAATTTCAACATTTCTGTCTCCTAAGGCTTCAAATGCAGCTTTTAAAAAAATGGTACTACTAATGTCAAAAAGAGAAGCAGCAATACCCTGCTGATTCTTTTTTTACTAGTTTGGATAATGGCACGGGCAGGCCAGGCTGTTGTCTTGTACTTTTTCCAGTACAAAGTGAAGAAGTGCAGAAATACTAAAGCAGCAGATTTCAAGAGATAGACAAGGCAAAAGAGGCATCTTCCAGATTTCCCTGCTTGAGATACTTCATACTCTCTTAATTGCATGGTGCTCTGCCTCGTTAGTTTCTTGCTACAAACATTTTATTGGAAACTTAGTAAGATTTTGCTATCTTTGAAGACTATGCCCTTTTCATTGTCTAAAAAAGCTAGAAGATAAGGGCTTTAATCTACAGTGGGGATGGAAAAAGACAATTTTTGTCAGACATGTCCTTGTGCCTTTTTTTATTTTTCTGTCAAGCTTTTCACATTTGGCATACACATGTTCTTGATTTTACCACAGAGGCTTAGGATCACTTATCACTCTAATATCCACAGCTGGTATCAGAGGACAAATTTCAGGTAGTTCTATAGAAGTTCAGTGTGTGGGTAGGAGCTTCTGACTAATTAAAGAGGAATGCTAATAATTGTTGGCATTTAGCTGTCCACTTAGCGTAGGCAGTAAATGAATGGAGCACAGAAGCAGACTTTTAATTTTTTTACTTTGCTTCGTGACTGCATAATCCCTTTAATCCTTCACTATCAGAGGTTTTTATTAATTAAATGGAATCTCTGCAGGCTCAGTGATTCACATTTCAGGGCAAATACGTGTATTTAACAGGGAAAGTTGGCATAGGTCTTAGTGGGTAGGTTTAAAGCAGTTCTTTCAAGGTTATTTTGGAAATGAGTGAAATGAATGTGTGTTTCTTGGCAGTCAGCCACATAGAATCTTCCCTTTGCTGTTTAAGAGCTGAATTCCAGCTTATCAGAGAATTCCCAGTGCAAGCATTAACTGATTTCTCGGTGATGATTGACTGATTCTGACTGGAGGGAAAGCTGTCCCTGGGAATGGGAGTGACCAACAGGAGCAGGAATTAACAAAGGTGAAGGAAGCAGATATCAGATCTTTGTCTTCTGATTTGGCAAGTTGAATGTTTCTGCTACACTGAAACTAAGTAATGGGAGCAAAATGCTCTTTCCTCCAAGAAGTCCTGAGGCATATTTATAAGAAAGTTCTGAAGAGCAGTCTGTATTTAGTTGGATACTCTTATTCCTTTGCTTTGTATGCGTCTTTTACGAGTAAGGCTTGTAACAGACAGTACCAACTTTTGAGCAGAGTCTGCAGAAGAGATTTGGAAATAAGAAAAATCTACCTGTGCTTGTCAGAGTGGGATTAGGACCTGTATCACACAGAAAAGATATATATCTGGTGAGCTTGTTCTAGCACAGTCCTGTATTTCCTCTTTATGTTCCTGCTGTGCAGCTCCTTTCCTGTAATGTTCAGAAGAACTGTATTCTGGTGAAGGATGTATAAGAGCAGGAGAAGAAACGAGAAGAAACGCTGCAGATCTTTGCAAAGAACAACCCTCCAAATAGCTTTTAGATGCCATTTATGGTCTTAAAGGTCTTTTCCAACCTAATGATTCCATGATTCCTGCTCTCATTCCATCCATTTCTCCGTTAGTTCCTGTGACAATCCTCCTTCCTTAAGTTGGAGAGGGTGATGGGGAGGTGTTTCTGGCTGTTAGTAACTGCTCAGCTCTATCCTTGGCCTTTTCGGCTGGGTAAGTTTTTACAAAGTCTAGACAAGATAGTATCCCATCCCAGTATCCATGTAGCTTTTCTAAAAATCCTCTACAAGACAAGCAGGATTTATGCTTAGAAGGAAATAATCCATTGCCAACCACCATATGTGGAAACAGGATAATCCAGGAAGCCTCCAAAGCCATCTTCATTTACTACTTGTTTCTGCCACCATATTCATGTTTTATTTCTATTATGATCTCTTTAGGTGTCTTTAGGAATGACTGGAAGAAGGTGCAGAAAGTTATATAAGGTCGGCTATTAGTACTGCCACGGCACAGTAAATCTGTTTCCTGTTCTGTAATTCCCTGAGGCATATTTAAGCATTCTTGAAAAGTACATAATGTTACATGTTACAGCTTCACTATTCCATGTGAGAAGCATTGCGATCGTAGCCCGCCCTACTGATGAGGGCACAGTGAGATGAAATGACAAAAGAATATGTTACTGCCATATCCACTGGATCGCCTGTTCAGATTCCTATACTCTGTAACTCTCATGTGAAAGAATAGCAGCTTCCTTTTCTCTTACTAGAACTTCTAAGTTTGAGGGAACCCTTAAGCATTTCCTGTGCTTACACCTCTACTTCTCTAAGGTAATATGCTTACTGAGGTGCAAGTCAAAATGCTGTATCATTAAGGATGCCTCTAAAGCTGATAATGTAAATGGGGAGTGTGGGGCTTTTGGATCTCTTTACCCTTCTGATGAGATTGTTGCTTGATAAGACAAGTATGGTGCTGAGCTGCAATGTTGCAGCTCCTCTGAAGTCAAGAATGGTTTTTTCCCACCCTCCTTTCATATACCTGTTCGCTGTATTTTCCATTCTAGTATAAGAAAAATATATTATGCTTTAGATACTTCAGTAAATTTTGCTTTAGGCATGTATGTACATTTACTTTCTATTTCAGAGTTTCTCTAAAATTTGTATGAAGGTGCACTGAGTAAAGTAGTGTGATACCTTGTTTTTTCCTTTTGTCTTTTTGCCTGCTTACAGGCTTGTATAGTGTTCTCTTCAGGTTAAATGGTTTATACTTGTTCTAAATGCAAAGTATCAAAATATCAATGTTGTGAATACTAGAAGGATTTATTTAAATGTAAATGTTTCTCAGGTCTATAGTGTTGTAACTAAAGGCAAATTGTCTCTTTCACCTCTCCACTCACATTCCTCTTTTTTTCCAGAACTGTGTTTGTTCTAAACCTGCTGAAATTCTTGTGTGCAGGAGAAAGGTGAGCTAAACTAACCTTAGATTTGGTTTAAAACTGACTTAAGTGGGTAATGCAGATATTTTATTTCAGTTTTTAAATGGCTTGTTTCAGTTTGGATTATGTAGCCTGAGAGTAGATGTAACAGTTTTAAGATGCACTATGATAAGTCATCCTTAAATTGAAGTAGGTGTCTTTGTATGGGGTTTTGCACTTGCTAAATCAAATAAAACTTATTTTCTTAATGCAAATAGAACAGGAGAGATTTTCCTTAGTTTCAGCGTGTGCTCAGCTGGTGGTTTTGCTTCATTGAAGTACAATCCAGTTTGGTTCAAAATATTGCAGGAATAGTCTGATGCTTTGAACTGGCAGGCACCCAGGATCTAGAAAGTGAAAGGGAACACAGTAGGTGATATCATAACAAACTCCTGCCAAAAGCATGTTAGAGGGAAATTCCGTTTTCTTTGTAGATGGTATTAAACGTTCTTATTTACAGTGAGGGCAATTATAGTATCCAACAGCTGTTTTCATGCCAGTTCCAGGGACAGAAGGATCCTCAGCCATGTGTTCCTGATGCACAGCTAAGACAAAACCTGTGGAACAGAGAAGCTTCTCTTACAGTCTCTGAAGAAAGCACTGTATCAGGGAAGGCTTTTTCATCGCTGAGAGAGGGACTGAGGTAATAAAATAAGACTTCGTATAATTTTATAATGAAATTTACCTTAACTTTTTGTCACCTATTTAAAATGCAAGTGGAGTGGTACAAGTTGCATGTTTAATACTATTTCCTGTGTGTTACGTCTCGTCAGAATGGACCATCTCCTCAAAGGTTTTTATATCATCAGTGTTAGTATCAGAATGACTGTCAGAGAAAACTATGCTTCTATCCTGTGAAGGATCTGATAGAAAGACTGAAAATAAGAAATCGCATTCTGCTTTAAAAAATTATATGATGTGTACATGTTATAGAGGAGCCATTACAGTTTCTGAGTATTTATCGTCCAGTACTATCAGGCACAGAAACACCTGTAGAAGAAAGGAAAGTGAGAAACAGAAAACCTTTTGCTATGAACCTTTTACTTGCTTTAGCCATGCAACTCTTGTAAGAAATTATGGAGCTAAGATGTGTGACAAATACAGTTTTAATTACTGATGCCACTACTAACTATGCCAGGAAATGGTGCTGGTTCTGGAAGCAATAAAAAAGCAGCAGACTCCCCTGCTTTTACTTACCTTTAAAGAGAATTTGTCTCCTTTTTCCATGCCTTCAGAACTCTGCCTGACATCACCTGGGCCTCCACGCATGGTCTGGCAAAGGCAGCACCTTCTGACTTCCAAGAAAAACAAATGGAAACACAAAAAGCTTGCATCTGGCCTGTTACCTCATCCTGGGCCACCTGGGCTGCTTGAGAGTCATCATGGCATTCCCAGTTCCTTTTTGCATGCTACATAATAAATTAAATGACTGTCGAGAAAAGAGACATGCACAGAAAGCAGACAACACTTAGAGCTCAAAGAGTTTTCATGGCATCACAGAGTGGTTTGGGCTGGAAGGGACCTTAAAGCTTATCCAGTCTCACCCCTTGCCAGGCGCAGGGACACCTTCCACTAGACCAGGTTGCTCCAAGCCTCATCCAACCTGTCCTTGGACACTTCCAGGGATCCAGGGGTAGCCCCAGCTTCTCCAGGCAATCTGTGCCAGGGCCTCACCACCCTCACAGGGAGGAATTTCTTCCTAATATCTAATCTAAATCTCTCCTCCTTTAGTTTAAAACCATTCTCCTTTGTTCTGTCACTATCTGCCTGTGTACAAATGCAAGAACAGTGTTCCCTTGTGCTGAAATCACACAGAGAGGAAACCACCCTTTACGTGACATATTGGTGGGTTTTCATTCTATTTTTTTAATAACATTTACTGAAGAAATAAAATACTTGGGGTTTCTAAAAGGTTAAAAATGGTGTTGCAAATGCCATGACTCAAACATTTTTTTCTCAAGACCAAAGTAACAGTAATTGATCAGAGAGACAGATAGCATCTGATGTTAAAATCTTTCCAACCTCAGTTACAAAAATAGCACCAGAAAGTTATCACACGTAGAGCTGCAACATAGGTACAGTTTACATCACCTAAAAGATCAAAGCTGAACGATGTAGGGCTGAAGGTGGTGCAGTCCAGCTGCTCAGTAACAGCTATTTCTAAGATCAAGTCAACCACAGCTTCTCAGTGTTTCCACTGCCTCCCTTAAGCCAATCAGTGTAACACACCAGCAGATGCAAGCGATGGAACACTTTGCAGCTCTAGATTTTTATGGCTTCCTCTCCCTGACATATATAAGAGGGTGTGCCAAATTTTGGGAGGAGCTCAGCTCTAGACACAGGAGGAGGGCTGGTAATGGTAAGAGACCGTGTCACCTGTGCCTCTACTATGTGCTACAGATTGCCTTTTTAGCATAAAATACTTTTGGACTGCATGTAAATTGTAGCTCAGGCACCATTAATGAAGGACCAGAAAGCCATTCTGCCCTTCCATTAGAGCTTTTAAGTGCTGTATTTCTACACGTAGATCAAGAACCACTTCTTAGAATGATTCTTAGCCCTAGAGAAAGAAAGTCAGCAAACTAGATATTTTTTATTTATTTTTATTTTTTTAAGAGATGGAAAAGGTGCACTTTTTTCTCAGTGGCTGGGCTATTTGGGACTCTGACACTCAGATTCTGATAACCTCTCTATTTACATAAACAGGTTCTTGTTCTGTATTCCAAAAGAAAATTCAAATGTGGATGACTTGGACAGTTCAATTTCTAGTTCACCAAAAAATCTCTGAATTCTGTGGATTCGCCACGGTCCTGATATTCACCTTGTTCTTCCTCAGGAAAGCGGCAGCTGCAGGTGTCATCTTCCTGAATTGACTGTTCAGGTGTGATATGCACTGAAGAAAAAGAAAAGAATCACAGAATCAACTAGGTTGGAAAAGACCCCTGAGATCATCGAGTCCAATCTCTGACTGAACACACCACACTGTCAACTAGACCATGGCACTGCATTTTTTGTCCAGTTGTTTCTTGAACACCTCCAGTGACAGTGACTACACCACCTCCCTGGGCAGCCCCTTCCAATCTTTAACAACCCATTTTATGAAGAAATTCCTCCTGATCTCGAACCTGAGCATCCCCTGGCACACCTTGAGGCCATTTCCTCTTGTCCTGTCATCTGTTACTTGGGAGAAGAGCCCAACTCCCACCTTGCTACAACCACCTTCCAGGTAGTTGTAGAGTGTGAGATGGTCCCCCCTGAGCCTCATTTTCTCCAGGCTAAGCCCCCACAGCTCTCTCAGATGCTCCTCATGGACTTACACTCTAGATCCTTCCCCAGCTTTGTTGCCCTTCTCTGGACTTAATCCAGCACCTCAATGTTTTTTCAAGTGAGAGGCCCAGAACTAGACAGATGTCCTCTTTCCCCATCTTATTTCACCATTCCTCAGTCACAAGTTCAGGAAGTCAGAAAGAAAAAAATCTTCCAAATGATTCTATAATCTGAAATTATTCCTCTACAGCATATAAATCTGATAAAACTAATTTATCATACTTTGTTTCCTCTAATTCAACAGGACCTCTAATGCTCTGTTTGCCATAGCAATGAAAGGAAGACAACATGGAGAAGTTAGATTTTTGGACTGCTATTGTCTCCCGTATTCAGAATTACACTAGAAGATTAGGACCTTATCCCTAGGACAGGGGAGAAGAAGAGAGAGAGAGACAACCCCTCAGAAAACCAAACAAGCCAACTACAAACTACGTTGAATGCAATTACACTCCATCTTTGTGCTGAACTCTTGAGCTTCCTCAGCGTTTATTAGCTCTCAGAGGGCAGTGTTGGATTCAGGCTGCCTCTGCACCTGTGTAGCAGCACATCCTGACTGATATCTCCTCTTCTACCACAGCCAGAGCTCCAAGGCGCTCACTCCAGGCCATGTGTACTGTTTCTAAGCAGAGAGCACTCGAAAGTGTTATAGCCACGGATGCCAAGGATGGTACTTGAAAGTAATAAACTGAACTGACCCTTGACAGGATCAGCAAGGCTCAGGTGAGCTTTTTCACCTCCCACGACTACTTCACTTGAAGGGATAAGGAAGCAGTTTACAGAACACCCACAGTTAAGTAAGTGCCTTCTGCAGTAAAAATTCCAGAACTGTTTTCCCTTCAGTTGTTTCTGACTTACGAGGCCAAAAAAACCGAAGCTATTGCAACTGTCTTTAAAAGACAATTAACCTGGATTCCTGACTTCTCTCTAGTTTCTTAAAGAAAACTGAAGAGTGCATTTATCTTACTTTTTTTGAAGACAGCGTGTAGTTTCTTTTTCTGCCAGACACCGAAGCATATGCACAAAGGTAGCAGGAACACTATGCACAACAGCCCAGCTACGGTGAGAAAAATCCTGATAATGTCTGTCTGGAGATCCTTCCCTAGGAATTAAACAACATTCTCTTAAGAGTTTTAACAGAAAAAAATTCTACTGCCCTTGAATTAGCCGACAGCTTTGTCTCCCACTCTGCTTCTAGCTAAGTCTGCAACACTGGAAATGCATAGAAGAAAGGACTCTTGCTTTAAATGGAAAGTGAACGTATGTTTCAAAGTAGGTCACAATTCTTTAGCTCTATAAGCAGCATTGTACAATGACTCACCTGGCCCAGTGATAGAAAATGGAATTGCAAGTGATGTGGTAGGTAGAGTAGTGGCTAAAGTGGGATTAACTGAAGCGTGTTTGCAAATGACATCTTTTTCTGCAGTTCCAGGCTCCAGGATCTGGTTTGTAGAGCACCTGAAAGACATTTACAGCAGAACAGGGAAAAGAAAAAAAGCTACAGAAAAAAATCCAGTAAAGTGTAATAGCTGTAGCATTTAGATTACATACTTTGTCCAGTTTTTACAGGAGCCATTGGGCTGATCATTAAAAGTTCCATACTGGCAAGTCTGGCAACCTTCAACAGACAAGGACAGGTAAATTTGTACAAGATAAACATTTAAAACACAACATGTGAAACGTTATTTTTGCCTGCTTGTACAATGACTATAATCAACATTCACATAATTACTATTTCATAAGCTGCTCTGAGTATGTAAGATAAGTCTTTCCCTGTGAGCCACGGACCAGTACAGTACTCAGCTACAAAGCCAGGTTATTTGGCACAAGATGCCACAAACCACGTCTAAGTCGGGAGTTCACAGCTTGGTCTTCCTCATGCCAGTGACAAAGGAGCTGTCATGCCAAGGAAACTAACTGGTGCAGGATTTGAGCCACAGTAAGGCTCAGAGTTTGGTGGGTTTGTCCACTGCTGTGCTCGCTCCGCACTCCATGCATACTGTTCAGCAGCAGCAGCACGTTTTATCTTGCGAGGTCTTTACTCCAGCTGCTTCTACAGTATTCAAGAGACTGTGCAGTCAGCGTGTCTAGTGCAGTAAGCACAGGGGCTTTCAGCTGGTGGGGGAAGGTAACCTTACCGTTCCCGGTGCTCTCTTGGCCCACACCACAGCTTCGGTCGCAGTGGGTGCAGCCATCGCCACTGCAGCGATACCCGTCCTTGCACGTGCATTCAGCATCGCTTTTTGAGGAACACTCTTTTAAATACTTGAATATTCCTGGAACGGGAAAGCGAGTCTTAGGTTACGGATTCGTGCATGCCCAGCGTGATGCAGCAAAGGCTCGGGACCTTTGCTCTTACAAAAATCAGGCTGGTAGTTTCAGCGAGAAGCCCCGCAGACGCGTGGAGTTATTTAGCGTATCACCCCGCGGGCAGGTGCCAGCCAGGGCAGGTGCCGTCGTTGCCACGGGAAGTCATAGAGGGGCTGCCAGTACCTTCGCACTTCCGACAGAGTTTGCAAGCGCTGCGTCCCGCCGCGCTGGAGAAGGTGCCGGCCGGGCACTGCCGGCAGGATGCGCCCGCGCCCCGCCTGCAGCCCGCGCTCTCCACGAACGTACCTGGGGGCCGAGACAGAGAGTGGCTGCCGCGGGGCCGCGCCCGGCGCCCCGAGCCCCGGCCTGGCCCGGCCCTTACCTGCAGGGCAGTCGGCTACGCACGGCAGCGCGGCCGCGGGCCCCGGGCTCAGCGCCAGCGCCAGCAGCGCCGCCGGCAGGAGCACCTGGCCCGCCCGCGCCGCTGCCATGGGTCGGTGCGTGGCGGCGTGGCTCGCTGGAGTGCGCGCGGGGCGCCGGGCGCCGGCCCTTAGCGGCCGCCCCCGGGGGGTTTGGCTGCGTCATCCCGGGGGCGGCGGGGAAGCCCAGACCTGGCGGGGGCTTTCCGGACCCCACCCGTGGCGCGACCCCCAGGCTCTGCCGGGCAGCGCCCGCAAAGCCCTCTCAGCGGTGCCGGGCAGCGCTCGCGCTCTCCCACTGGGGCTTCCCGGCGAGTCCCGCGCGGAATCCCCAGGAGGCGGAGGGTGAGGGAGGCGGGGCCGGCGCGGGCCGCGGCGGGGGCAGACCGCAGCAGTGAGCGGAGATACCGCGTCTGAAACCACATGGCCATGAGGTCGCAGGAACAGCCGAGAACCGCGGTCGGACAGCGAGTCCCACCCCGCTCGCGGACCCGCCCGGGACGCGGAAATGCAGCCGCGAGTGAAACGCTACAACCCCGGCAGGATGCAAGCGCAGCCCCGCCCCCTGCGGCTCCCCGCGGCCAATCCCCGGCGCTGGCGCTGGCGCTGACTCGGGGGGGGGGGAGGGGGGAGGGGGGCCGGAGCGCGGCGCGGGGTGCGCTCAGGGCCGAGGAGGGGACGTGGAAGAGTTGTCCAGAGTGCGTTGTAAATGACAAGCGAACGCGCCTCCCCGTGTGTGCGTGCCCGGCACACAGACGGACAGAGCAAGGACCAGCCTGTCGAGGGTTCTGAGCAGAGCCCTGTGTGGGCAGGACACAAACCATCCTGTGCCGGGAGCTGCAGCCCGCACCCATTCCAGGAGAGCCCCCAGCAAAGTCCTTCCCTGTGACTTGCTCTCCTGTGCGTGACCTGGACTTGAGCTGCTCTGTCGGAGCTCTCGTGAGCCCAGCACCAGGGAACCAGAGCGGGTCTGCCAGCACCTGCGAGCACGGGTTTTACACAATAGGGCTCTGCAGCTAAAGAGCTCCGTTAGCAGCTCTGTCCTTCAAAATACTGAAACTTCTTAAAACCAGAGGCAACATCGTCCTTGAGCCTGGGGCATTTCCCGTGTACCGTGAGCCTCAGGAAACAGTAGTGTTTCGGGTGGACGTTTCGGGTAGAGCCCGGAGAAGAGCAGTGGCTCGGTTCTGCGCTCTGTCCGTGCGGGGCTGCCCGAGAAGCAGCAGCAGCAGCTCGGGTCGCGCTGCCGTAGGAAGGTGACGCTGTCACGGTGGTGAGCACCGGACCGCTCTCTGAACCTGCGACCTGAGTGACCGTGAGAAAAGCGGAACGTCTCGGAAACGGAACAGGAGGGCGGGCGAGAAGCGGGGAGGGGCCGCGGCGGGCACAGCGCGGGCGGGGCCGGGGCGGGTTCTCTCAGAGCCGCCCGCGCCCCGGCTGAGGTGAGTTGTGGCTGCTGCCGCTCCGGTCGCGTTGCAGGCCCGGCTGGCGGAGCCCCCGGAGGGCGGCGGGGGGACTCGGGGCCGCCTGCAGAGGCCGGGGGGGGCTCGGTGGCCTGTCGGAGTTGCCCCGCTCTGGCGGCCGAGCAGGCTCGACCCCCCCGCCGTGCCAGCCCCGCCGCTCGCGGCCTTCTGCCGGCCCTTCTGCGTCAAATGGCGCCGCGTCCCAGAATAAATAGATCAGTGTGTAGGGACCTGGCCTTCTGTACGGCTGGCGGAGCTGGTGAGCCGTAAACCCTCCCCTGCCTCTGTTAGCGGGCTCTGTGGTCGGGGCGTTGAAGGGTGTGATTTTTTTAAAGGCAGCCTTCTTAGAGTTTCTGATTCGGCCGTGTGCCACAAGCCACCATCTCCAGAAAGGAACATGTACCCACGCAGGGAAATACGTTCGCTGATAGGTTTGAGGCATGTACTGTTCATGTGCTGGCACTGAGGAGCAAATGCAAGACTGGTATTTACTACGTGTAGGTAGCTTGTAAAATGAATTAGCTATTAGGTCTGTGTAACGTGGTTCTGCCTTCTCAAAAAGAGTCTTTCCCTGGTAGCATTTACAGCAGGACAGCTATTTACCTATGGACCCACACGAAGAACAGTACTAATGCTCAAGAATTTGGCAGTGTTTTACAATAAATGTCTAAAGGCAGTAGGGAGAGACTGCATTTTGCTAAATTAGGGGAAAGAGTAAAGGTTTCAGGATAAGGTGCCTATTTGCATCTAAAGAACTAATGAAATAAAGGAATACAAACTATGATGTATTTTTCTTCAATAAAAAGCAAATGCAGTGTTTCTATGTTGTGGCTAGTCAGAGAGTCTTTTGCTAATTAGTCAAATTTATATGAAAATTATTTTGCAAAATCAATGTGTATCTTCAAGACAAGTTATTAAGAAGCTCTAGGTTGTCCTAAAGTTATTGCTAATAGCTGTGATTTGAGTATACTTGCTCAGTTGGCTTTGCATTGACAGTACATAAAGTACATAAAAGTAGGATTTGACACTAAGTGAATTAGTCTCCTTGGGCTGGTTCTGCATGCTGCAGGGTGTTCTACTGTATATTACTGCATTCTAGAAATAACATCTTTCTAAATGAGGCTAACAATAGGGAGTAAACTTGAAAATAGATGGAATTGAAGCAGGGTAAGAGGATGGTTTTCTTTCATGTAGGCAACTAAAATGTGCATCGCAGTTAATGAAGGGCTCTCAGGTGCTACATGCATTTCTGAATGGAAGGTCCATTTTGTCCTATAAGACAAAAATCTGTCTTCTAGAGGGGTGACCTGTGAAATGCCTTCTCACATCATGGATGCTTTTGCAGACTTCAGTCAGACCAGTATGAGTTAATGGGTATTTTACATGATGTAAAGTAACTTTAACTTAACCTTCAAATGGAAATTTGTCCCTTCACCTCAGCTTGAATTTAGAAGCTAAAAAAAAAAGTCTTAAGCCTGGTTTGTTCCATTTGCTAAATTCTGTGGTCTGCTCCCCCATCACACGTGGGCACACACATTTTTTCCCCCATAAAATTGTGAAATACCCAGAAAATCTGTTTCTGAGGTTTTGCAAGAGCAGTGGTCAAGTCATTGTAAGTCACAGGAAACTCTTCGTGAAGCATGGTATGTGGAAAATAAATACCAGACATGAGGTCAAAGCTCATGCAAGCCCTTTTTATAAATGCTGACCTGGGTAGGAGTCAGTAGTCTCAGTGTGAGTGAGGGTGTGCAAACTGAAAACAATTCTGCCACCCACCTTGAACCCTTTTCTGGCAGACACAGGTCATGTAAGGTCTTGATTAGGCCAAGCTGCTTCCTTATTTGATGCTGATGTGCTGTGCCTCCCACTGCACAAGTGCCTTAATCTCTTAGTATCATAATGCATTTTTTTTTTAAAAAAGCTCTTTAGTTAAACAGAACTGTTATGAATATTGATTAAAGCTACTGAACTATTTTGAGTTGGTTTAAGTGAAAGATAATGCAAAAATGCAAATAACTCATTGTTAAGTTTCAGCATCAGGAAGGATTTGTACTAGAACATTTGCTTTCTAACCACATTGTCTTTTTCTACCCTCCTCAGCCCCTCCGTTCACAACCGTCTCAGCTAACAGCAACCCCTCAAGATATGGCCTCAAAAAGAGCATTGGTGATTTTAGCAAAAGGGGCAGAGGAAATGGAAACTGTAATCCCTACTGATGTTATGAGAAGAGCTGGGGTGAGTACACCGACAGTGAAAAATCTCTTTGTGAGTGTGTGGTCAAGGGGAAATCTTTGCCTCAAGTTGATGTTCATTGCTAGGAGTTCAGTGTGTAATTTGTTGTGTGAGGTGAAAATTTCCCCTACCACCTTACTGTTTAGCAAATGCTTGTTCCATGCCCCTACTAAGTATGCTTGACAACTGACATTTGTGCAAAAGGTAGACTTTCAAAGTAAGAGTCCAGTGTGGACTAGAGTGAATGTTTCAAGTAAATCTTACTCTGTCAGAGAACATGGCTACTTCTATGCATAGTAACAGAAAGTACTTTTTTTTCTAGGGGTCTGAAAAGCTCAGTACATTACAGCTTATGACATTATGTAGCTTTTCCTGACCTACTTTTAAAATTCTATTAACTAGAGTTTGGCTGTTGCGATTCCTCATGATGTTTGTTACCTTGCAGCTGTAGTAGTACATATCATTAGGTATGAAAATAGTATTTTAAATTAGTACACCAACTTCGCTTGTGTAGAAATGACTAAACTGCTCCCATCACCTCATCACTGTACACCCCATTTTGGCTGTCATAAGAGGAACAAGCTTGTCTGCTTGTTTAGTGAGTGTGAGCTGTGCCATGCATATCTATGATGTTATGACCAGGCATCTAAAAGTCAAGGGAGGAAAGTGAACATGCCATAAGTGTGTTTGAGAGTGGCTTGAGCCTGCAAAGAGACTTCAATTCATTATCTGATCTACTTAGTTTGGCTCTCCTGCATTGTATTATTTGTTTTGTTTATAGCCTGTGGGATCAGATAGTCTCTATATGTCCTGTTTGAAAAGTTGAACTGTTAGAGTTATTTGTCTACTTCAGGTGAATATCACTGATTACTGTGTGTGCTTGGACTTAATCATGGTTTGTGGGAGCTTAAGTGTTCCCTGGGTTGTGACAGCTTTCAGTAGTGCTTTGCTCATTCTGTGTACTATTTAAGAACTAATATAGAAGAAAAACACCCTAAATTCTTGATTTGTCATGATATATTTGTTCTTCTCCTAGATAAAGGTGACTGTTGCAGGCCTAACAGGAAAAGAGCCAGTGCAGTGCAGTCGAGATGTCTTCATTTGTCCTGATGCTAGTCTTGAAGATGCCAGAAAAGAGGTTGGTCATCACCTTGACCTAATATAGTGGCCAAAATAGCCTTTCTCACAGCTTCCGAGGTGAATTTGGAAAGCCTGTGCATTACCTTTAGACATATATTGCGTGTTGTGTTAGCTCTATGCAGCAGTTAATTACAGAACTGCACATCCCACTGTGCTCCCCTTCAGTGTTGTCCTGGTTCGTAGCATGCTCAGTTCAGACAGATCTCTTAATTCTGCACTGGTGTTTGTTTTTGCAAAGCATCAACCCTAGCCCTTTATTTTTCCTGTTAGTTGGCCCAATGAAATACCATAATTTGAATCAACTCCAAAGTTCTGATGGGAAGCTAAACAGTGTTATAGTTAGACCTGTACAGTAAGGTTCGAGCAAAACCACTTTACAATGCATTTGCTTGCTGAAGCTCTTAAATGCACTAGGCTTAAGAGTTAGTTCAGTGGCAGACTTTATCAATAATAGGTTCTTCCTGGAACAGGAAACAGTATTTTATTCTGTAATTGGAACTGGTTCTCTGATCATAAAGTGTTGTTCAGTGGAAGAAAAGGTTATTTTGCTTGTCACTTGAATCAGCTGTAGTGGGCTTCAAACAGTATCAGTCTCTGTTCAACAGAACAGTTTCATCTTTTGTTTGTTTAGGGGCCTTACGATGTCGTGGTCCTGCCTGGCGGTAATCTCGGAGCTCAGAACTTGTGTGAGGTAAAATTCCGGTATTTTAAAAATTCATAGGCATCTTCATGAGTAGTGGTGGTCTGCGCTTGCTTAGTAATTCTGCAGATTCAGTTCAGCCTCTGAAAGTTCTCTTCTGAATGAATCAGTAAACTAAATATCAATTGTCTGAAGCCTTCTTGTGACTATATAGGTGGGACAACTGGGTAAATTCTTGCATTTGAATAAAAATGGAAGAGTGCTCTGTATTGTGGGTAGATCTCTGTTCATAGTCATATGAAGATGAAGCAGTTGCAAATGAAGATTGAATTCCCTGAAATATGAAATTGTCTAAAGCCATGGACTCTCTTCCTTTGCTCAAGAATTCTGTCTGTGGTGCAAAGCTGTTGCTGTGGTGGTATAAATACCTTGTGGAAGGCAGGCAGACAAACAAGTCAATCTATCAGATAGGATTTAGATGGTATTGCACAGTTTGTAAACCCTGGAATATGAGATAAATATCCCACATAAATCTTTTTAAGAATGATGGAGACTATTTGGAGGTATCTTATGAATACTCTTTCGTGTTTGTCTTGTGAAGCTTTCAGACAACTTTCTATGTCCGTGGGTTAACCAGCTTTTATGTAGGCCAGGTACTTCCTTGCAGTTCCTTCTGATTTCCTTACTCTTTCCTTGTGGGGCAAATATGTATTGGTTTCAGTGTTTCTCCTTCTTAACGTTCTCATTGCCCTCTGTCCTGAGGCAGGGTGAAGAGGTGTCAGTTGGTTTTCTGTGTAAAACACGTTTATGACTTTGCAATGGAAAATATTTCAGACATGCTTCAAATAATCAGTTCCTAACAATGACTCGTGATATCATTTTTCTTCATACAGTCTGCTGCTGTGAAAGACATTTTGAAGGACCAGGAAAGCAGAAAAGGCCTGATTGCTGCTATATGTGCAGGTGGGTTAACAAGGTGTCCTGCTTTATAAAGCATTTGGATGTTTTGAAGGAGCATGCAGACATTTTCCTGTCTTAGAAATTTGTGTTCCTGTAATTTAGTAGCAGGGATTTGTACTATATGTGCACCCATCAGCATCAGAATTTTTTATAAATTTAATAGCAAAGAAATCTCTAAAATAATTGCGAACACTTATCCTGCAAGTTCTGCTTGGTTCCCAGTTCTTTCCAGTCAGTTGCATTACTGTCTTTAAAATAAAAAGTGAAAGGTAATGTGCTAGGATTTTTTTACAAAATATATGCTTATTCTGATGATCTTTCTGCAAGGACACAGCACTGGCAGAATATCATTGCTGTAAATTTATCTCACATAACTATTCCTGCCCTTTAGCTTCAGAAAGAAGGCCATACATATAGAGTTACAGTCTTCCCCTTCCTCATCTGAGTCATAGCAAAAGATGGACTTGGTTTGAGGAGAGGTTATCTGCTTACATATTCTGCACAGCTGGGTATCCAGGTCATTACTTTGTAAGGTATGTGTGTAAAAAAGCAAGATGAACAATTGCCAGTACTCCCAACTGATCTTAGAGGCTGGCCTAGGACCCAAAGCTGAGGATGAGGAGGGTGGCAATGAGTTCATAAAAGGCCATCTAACAGAGTATGTTTGTAGAGTGGATTTTCATTTTTGTTTTCTTGTATGTTGCTGGGGCTTTTTTTTGCTTTTATTCTTCAGCGAGGTGATAGGTATGCAGAGTTGTGAACATTCTTGTACTTGGCAATGATAGTCTTCTCTTATCTGTATCTCTTACAGAACAATCCAAATTCATGGTTGCCCACTAAAAGCTTTTGCTGGTAATCAGAGTGGTTAATTTCTTTAGGTATAATATTCTTAGAGCTCATTCCAGCTGAACACAAAGGAGGTTATTTCCTGGACTAAATCCAAAATGAGACAAATGCACAGAACTGAAACTCAGATTAGGGAAATCTTGCCTTCATTTTCTTTTGGAATTCTCATAAGGATTTCCTATCAAATGACTTAACACTTCTTGACACAAACTCAACTCAGGCTAAGAAGGAAGTGTGAAAAGGAAAGAGGAAAACTGTTAAAACCAAAAACTTAACAGTTAGCCCATGGTCTGTCCAAAATACTGTTTGGCACACAATTGCGACATGCAGAGACTTGCTCAAATGAAGTTCTACTTGGTACATCTCTAAAGTCAGGATTTAACAAGGTTGTAAAGTAATTGTAACTAGTTAATGTTCAGACTGAAATGCAGACCTTTTGTTTCTTAGCGTCAAGCAGTTTTAAATAAAATGTATTATGTGGAAGTGAAATGACCATTGTCCTCCACTCGTTCCAAGGCAGCACAGTCATGGTAGGACAGTGTGGGAGCTGTAATTGAATGCGAGAGATTATACGGCTTGGTTCTTTTTGAGGCTTTTTGCTTCAGAGATGGGGCTGGCATCAGTTTTTATAAAAAGTAGTCTGTCCACAGTGAGCTTTGGACCCTTGAGAGCCTAATGCCTGAATATATGTTCTTAGAAGTGTTTCTAGCAGAAGGCAGTTCCTCACTGGTGCAACTTTTTGTCCTTACAGGTCCTACTGCCCTTCTGGCACATGGGATAGGGTTTGGAAGCAAAGTCACAACACATCCTTTGGCCAAAGATAAAATGATGAATGGAGGTATGTAATGACTTTTATAAGTTTCTCTCCAAACCCTTCTCAGATTTTTTTTTGTTTACCTGAAACCACAATTTAAAGAAAGGAAGATAGCTTTTGTATCTTACTTTGTCTCTTTGAATTTCCTTAATGCTTTCTTGAATGTAATCAAAATCCAACTGAATATGCTAAGACTGTATTTCTAAGCCTATTTCACCTATTTAATAAACAGGGCTGTATTAACATTCTCATCCTTGGGGAAAATACACTGCTGCTGTCATGCTAGGAGCATTTACTGCCTTATCTTCTCGAGGCTGAGCCATCATCTCTTGCCCTTTTGGTTCTTTGCCTCAGTGGTCCAAGCAGCAAACCCCAGGAGCACCTTTCATGATCTCCTGTGAATAGGGCTTTGGTTCTGTGAGCAGCTGATGGATCCACACTTCTTTCTCCTACCTAAGGGAAGTGGTGGTGAAATGCTATGAAGTCATTCTGTGAACATTAATGAGTCTGAAGGTGAGCAGGAGATGGCAGGGTTCTTCCAATTTCTTCTGCATGTAATTGGCAGAAAAGAAATTTGTGAATAGCTCCACAAAAGCAGTCTGACTTCTAAAAATAAACTCACAGGAACTGACAGGGAGAGTGAGTGCTTCTTAATGAGCTTGTAGAATCAGAGGTGCATTCTCATACTATGTGAATGGAGCTACCAGAGCTCCCTGCAGGCCCTTTTCTTCCCTGAGGACTGCAGGCAGTCGTGGGATGCTTGGAGGCAGGCTGGGCCCACACGGGTGCCTTTGGCAGGTAACCTCTGCTCCTCAGCAGAGCCTGTGGCAGGTGAGTCTGTGCTCTGTGGCAGCTGTGGGCACTGTCCTGGAGACTGACCCTCTTTCTGTTGTGTGTCCCCCCCCAGCACACTACAGCTACTCTGAGAGCCGCGTGGAGAAAGATGGGAACATCCTCACCAGCCGTGGGCCTGGGACCAGCTTTGAGTTTGGATTGGCCATTGTTGAAACGCTGATGGGGAAGGAAGTGGCCGAACAGGTGAAGGCACCTCTAATACTGAAAGAGTGAAACCCTAGTGTGAGACAGGAAGTAGGACAAATTTGGATAGAGAGTTTTATCCTCTGTAGAATAACTGTAAGCTGTACTGTTGTAAATACAATTTAATTTTGGGTGAAATTAGCAACTGTACTTACCTTAACTGGGATACCGTAACAAACCAAAGGTCTTTATCTCTGGAAAAAGATCGTTAGCAAAAAGCTTCATCACAAAAAAGTAGCCAACATCTAATAATCTTAGTTAAGAGAACTCCTGGATGGCATTTAAAAATCACATGGAAAAATGTTTGCTGAGTAAATAAAAATGAAGCGGCCCTGCTGGTGTGTTGGTACTCCATGTGTTTTCTCCCAACCCAGACCTACGAATCCATTTTGCCACCGTGGCTATCCATGTACTGTTCAAAACAACGTCTGTTTAGATTCTCGCACAGTGTGAGCTGAAATGAGCGCTGGAAAAAGCTCCCTAGGGAGGGTGTCAGGGCCCCAGGCCTGTCAGTGTTCAAGAAGCATTTGGGCAACACTTCTCAGCTATATGGTTTAACTTTTAGGTTGCCCTCTGTGGAGTCAGGAGTTGGTTTTGATGACCTTTGTTAGTCTTTTCCAACTCAGGATATTCTATGATTCAATGACATAGATTATTAAGTTGTAACTTAGAATTAGTTAAAACAATGTTTAGTTTTTTCTGTACAAATAAGGCAAATAACTAGTATTAATTCTAAGACAGTGTGGGACTAAATTAAAAGTGTGAATATTCGTACCTTGCCAGGCACCTTAGAGTTCCTACAAGTTGAACATGATACCTTGAAATTTGTCTTCTGTATAAATGATTGCAGATCCATTGAGCTATCTGAGCAGCTAATAATCAGCATAAATCAGGAAGGTTGGATTTGGTAGCATACCACCAGTAGCAGTGCTTCTTTCTACTTACCATAAATCGGGACTTGCTACAAGCCTAGCTTAAGTGAGCATATGTCAGTTTAGAGGAGTTGCTGGGCACGTCTCTGGAAGAAGTAGTGGGGCTATATTCCCATGGGCATTAAGAATTTGGCATCAGTTTTTGTCTTTGCTGCCTTTCTTTTACCAAATAATTCTGCTGTTACCTGGCTCTGTCAGCCATCATGCTTTACAAGATGGCTCCTCATTGGACTCAGAAGTTACCACAGCATCTGGAGATCTGGCTCTGCATACATCTGAAGTGCATAATCTGAACTTTAAAAAATTGCTGCATAGGGGCCTTTATGATTGCTTATTTTAATGGGAAACAAGTTCATTCTCAACTACTGCATTTTGGTAATAAAATACATGGATACTTTTGCAAATTTAGAATTTAAAAATGTCTCTGTGTTGCTAATATCTACTGGAAGAACTGCTTCAGCTGTATGCTCTGCCTCTTAATTTGTTTAGGAAATATGTTTCTTTAGCTTTTTAAATATGCTCAAGATATGCAAAAAATTGTAATCTATGTAAGATTGGACATGTTTGTGTGGTAAATCCGCACGTCTAACTGGTATTGCTGTGCAAATGTAAACCAAATGATGGAAAGATTCTTTGTCCTAGATACTGGAATAATTACTTTGTAAATGGGCATGATTCAGAATACAGGAAAAACTGTGCATTCCTGGGTTGCGGTACTGCTTTGTAGAATTAGAAGGAAAATACTTCCATGCTTGTTTTGTTTTTAGGCTTCCAGAAATATTTTATAAAGAAGTGGCCAAAAATTTGATTATAAATTTCTATTTTTTATTCCAAGACTGGGATAGTTCAGTTTACAGCAATGAGGTTTTCAATGTGTATATTTGGGCTTTCCCACTCCCATTAAAATGGTAATAGGAAAAACACTCAGAAAAATGAGCTGAGCCCATTAATACATCTGATTAATTTGCAGATTCTTCAACTTTGTTCAGCAAAGGACTCGGTAAATGAAATATGGTAGTTCTGCTTGCACCACAGTTAGTTACCTTCATAAAGCTGACTGTTCTTAACCTTTTACATTGCAGATGTTCAGCAAACATGAATTTACATGGGTTCTCTCTTTCTGCTAAGGTGTCATTAAGTTGGTCTTTCTGTTAGGATAAGTATATGAACCAAGATTAGGCTAATTTTCCTCTTAGGGTAAGCGTTAAGAAGGAATTTGCTGATTTGAGGGGAAAAAAATGCCTTCCAATTTGTGAAATGCCTTTTTCCTCTCTCTTTTTCCATTTCATACAGTATTTCTTTTTTTTACAGATCTCTTTTCCTAAAATCCCCCATCTGAACAATGAGCTGAGGTACTTTTCTGTTCAGTGTTTCATGTACACTAGGAACTTTGTGCCTTTTTATTATTGGCAAGTGTTAGTTTTAAACTGAGTCTGTGTTAATTCGGTATATGCTGCCACTGAACTCAGCTTAAACTGAAGGGAATGCATCCACACTTCTCTAGCTGGCATTTACCATTTTGTTTCCTGACAGCTGAAAGATTTTGGGATTGGTTGTTTTCCTGATGAAAAGGGTAGTCAATCAGCATCTGCTGTATGTCTCATATCATCTCTCAAGAATAGGGTAGGTTTTTTTTCCTCTCGATTCTGGTGGTTCTTTGGGCTTGAATGCGTAGTGCAGAATTGAGAAGTATCATATGGCTTAGAAACAGGAATGTACACAAGATGGCATAGATGCTAGTGCCAGCAGTGAATACTTGCAGTGATGCGTTTATCTGTGCTGACTTTACTCATGAATGCATCTGATGTGTTAGTTGCTTTTCCCTGGTGTTTTGTAAAGGAGTACTTTACCTTCCTTTTCATTGTGCAGAAGGGAAATGAACGCTTGTACTAGGAAACCAGGAATAATGCAGCTCTAGGCTCCTGTATGGGCTCAAAGAGACACAGGCTTTGCTAGTAACTTCCAAATAAATCCCCTGCAGCAAAATCAAGAGGATTTTTTTTTTCCTCCTTCCTCTTTGGAGAACTACAGAATATTAACAACTTTAACATAATTTAAAAAAAAAAAAGGAAAGAGTTACTGCCAGGTGCCAAGGGTGATGTTCTCCAGCCAGTGCCAGTTCTGTGCTGATTGCCTGTAGTGAGGAGAACAGATGGGGCCCTGGTGGCCTCACCACCCCACCTCCCCCTTCTTTCAACAGGCATTTTCTTAGGCCATGAAGAGGAGTTGGAGGCTTTTGCCTCTCTAGCTTTGGGTCTTGGCTGCTCGTGCATGAATTTGCACAGAGCCTCTGGGGAGGGAATATTCAGTCTCATGGAGTTCCCCAGGGCCACAGCCAGCAAGCCCTGCCTGCATCCTGCTGTACTGCTAGAGAAAACTGGGATCCTGCACTTGTGTTGCATTGGTCACTCCCTTGCACTTGAATGGCCCAATATAAAGCTCAGGTGTTAAATTGTGGACTGAACTGCTTGTAAAACAGCCGCCTTACTCATCATGCTGCTCCAGGGCATGCAATAGCATCCTGTCTTATCATGGAGAATGCTTTTGATCGAGTTGGTCCAGATGATGGGTGAAGCGTGGCCTGCGAGAAGCAGCATGTCCAGAGCACCCTGCAATGGCTTGTTCAGTTGTTGGCAGCCTGAAAGGCTGAGCAATCTCGAGCTAACTCCTGTGCACAGTGTTGCATTACCTCAAGCTCGGATTGGACTGCTGGCTGTGCCTGCTGTCTCTGTCTCAGTGGAGTGGTAGTCTGCTCCTCCAATGGAAAAGTTGCTTGGGGAGTAATGGGGTCCTTGGCCATTCCCACAGAACAATACTATTGTGTATTGCATCCAGCACTGGCCATCATGTGATTGATAAAACCTATAGAAGATAATGGCCCACGTTGTCACTCCTCACCCTTAACAACATGCATGTTTAGACTGTCAGTCTTTAACAAAACACTAGCATTAAAACATTTAACTTGAAGTTAGGAACCAACCAGTTCATCCTTACTTCAGGCTAGCCCTTCATCTTCAGAGTCTCATTATAGGTCTCCATTAGCCCCTGTATGAAGCAGGAGCTCCCTGGTGCTCACCTCACTGACATGCATTTTTAAAAGTGTGTCTCAGATGGGGCTGTCTGTTCCTGTGGCTTTTAACGAAGCAACAACTTCAGTTTGTTATTTTTTTTTCAGCATGTTGAAAAGATGCTCTGGAAAGACAACCCTCCTTCTGACTAGCAAAAGCAGTTTAGGCTATTTGAATCCCATGAGCAACAGAATGTGTCAGAGTGTGTGCTGTAATCTCTGCCCTGGGTTGTTAGAGGCCTCTGCATCACCATGTGCCTATTGCTGTGCTGGTGCTATGTACATCCTGCATCACAACAGCACAGTCCCAATTCGAATTGCTTAAACTCTTAAGTGTTGGGGTGTGCAACTGGGATGCAGGAAAACTTTTCTTGATTAACTTGTCAACAGGACATGTGACAAATGAAGTCACCAAGTGCAACCTAGTATGGTTGGAGTCTCATGTTTCCTCTGGATCTTGCCTAACAGCTAGTAAATCACAATACAGGGATTGCAAGGCAATGAGTAACCTTGCCATTTGCTTGTGTCTCCCTTGCACCTTGCCATGCAGCAGTTGGACCCAACATGGCATGAGCTGATATGGTCCTTAGCGTGAACTTCCTGCAAGCTGGTAAGTGCCCCAAGAGTCTTATGCCTAAAGACTGCTCAGTGTATAGCGTTGGTTGTGTGTTCCAGTTGGTTTCCAAAAGGGCACTCAGTAGTGCTGACACTGCCCTTGAAAAGTTGTTGTGAATAATAAACATATTAACAAAGGTAAAATAAATATTATAGGTAAGGGGAACATGTGTCTGTCACCTGGGTAGGTGGTGGGCAGGAGATCATTCTTCTGGGTCAGGCCTGATGATCCTGTGCTTGATCCAGAGACTTTGTGCATGGAGGGCCTCTTAGTGTGTTATTATGATAGCTCAATGTGATTAGTTACTAGCATCCTCAAGCAGATTCAGGGTGGTGATGGTGGGGTAATCTGCCATGGTTTTTCATGGCACCATATTTGCGCTTTTTTTCCTTTGTGGCTTTCACATGCTAATAATTTGTGGACGATAGTGTTAATCTTCAGCAAGAAGCTGCAGCTTTTCAACACAGAAGCATGTCTGAATCACTTTGCAAGGAAATGAATAGTAGTCCTGGTTCCCATGTTTCAGTGGCATGACAGTTAAAATTTGGAGTACCTAACACCTTTTCCAAAATTAACCACAACTGGGATCAAGGTGCACCCCAATATATAAATAATATAGCAACAGTCTATGAGCAATCACAGGTGTGGCTTCCATTTATGATTCAGAAAAAATAATGAGCTCTGTGGATGAAAATAGGCATTTGGGCAGGGATTATGCAAGGCCTGAATTATGATGCAGGATGGGTGGGGATAACACCTCTTTCAGTTTACAAATGCTAATCACAAGCTCAGCAGCCAGAAATCTCTGCAGCACTATTTAACGAATATTAATAAGTATAATTAAACTTTGTGTGCTAGATTTTCAGTGCCAAAGAGCTATGTGAAATGCAAAATATGCTATATGTTTTTGGTTTTAAATGAAAATAAGCTGCTTTAGAAGAAAGCTAACAGGAAATTAAAAGATTAAACTACTCCAAAAACAAAAGTTTACCCCAGGAACACTCAGTACACACAAAGAAAATGAATAGGCTACCTAACTACAGAGAGCCTACAAGCAGATAAAATGAGGGTTTACCTCCATCTCCAATTTCCTTCTTGACATAATCTAGAGAGTATGTATTTAGCATACAGCTTGTAATAATATTAAAAGTGTTTATAAGGGCCACAGTCTGTAATCATGAGTTTGAAAGGTGGGAATTCTACCATGACTGATCTGGCCATCACCTTAACCCTGAATTCCTGACAAGACTTGGGCTGAACACCATCAGCAATTACTCCCTACTGTAATAACTGCCCTTACAAAATTGGTGTCTTTGTCCTGGACTAGAAGGATGCTTTCCTTTATCATGTCAAACTTAACACTTCACTCAGACTGTTTAAAAACTAAATCAAGGCTGCAGCTGGAGTAAATGCAGTCTTGGTGGGTGCTCTTCTGCAGTTTCAGAATGGTAGTAATTGTGCCTATTGCAGTCTGGGAGTGAATGGAAAACTAGTGACAGCAGCAACAATCAGTAATTTTAAATGACTGCAGATTTAATTATGTCGTCAATCTGCATGCTTCCGAATCAGGTTTAATTTCTGTTTTTTCTCTTACAATGCAAAAGAAGCTGATGATCAGCTACAGCTCTGTGTTACTTAGTGACTTTGTCTGTTTAAGAGCAAGTTAATATAGTGAAGTTAAGCTAACGGGTTTTTCAAGTCACCTGGTACTAACACAGCCTCTTCCTTTCAGGAAAAGGTATACTGAGGCAAACATCCTGTCCTTTAGTTACAGCTGGACTCTGCTTCTCTAGGTTGATTTGCTAGTCCGAAACTCACCAAGCGAGGGGTGTTTTGCCAACACCAGAGCAGCCAAGTAGCACTTACCAACACCAACCCTTACACAGGGTGAATATGACAAATGCTTCTGCTGTCACTTGGTACTTAGAGTGTGCTTTTGCTTGTGCAGTTTTGAGCCTGAGGGAGAGGTCACCCACACCCTCCCCTCCCCCTTCTCACCCACTTCGCTGGCAACCACATCTCATTGAGGTCTATTCAGTGATCCTGAGTTCACTGTGGAGCTGCCCTGGATCCAGCCCTCTGGAGTTCACTGCAGTACAACCCCCTTTGCCTCAGCACAGCTGCTACCTCCTGGGACTCAGGAGCCCTCACCAGCATGGCTGGGTGGTTCCCAACAGGGCCGCTGAGAGCAATGTGAGTATATATGGCCTGCTTCTTGAATAAGGAAGCTGTGAGAGACATTGCTTTTCCATAGATGCACATTTTTCTTCCCTGCTTTAACACTTGACTCTCCAAATTTCAGTTTATCAAGTTGTAACTTCTTTGAAGTGTGATTATTCCAGTCAAATCTAGCTGGCAAGGGTCTTTGTCCTCAGAGGCAAAGCTATCAGGCCTTGCCCAGGTGAGCCCAAACTCTGAATATTCAAACGTGATCAGATTGTTGCAAAAGCATGTTGTGTCCTGACAAGTCTTATCATGTGCCAGGGGACAAGCAGAGAAATGTCTTCTGGCCAGAACTCGCAAAGCTTCCCCCACAGCTCTACAGCCTTAATTACTCACTTGGAAAATGAAATACAATTTTTGGGTCATGCAAACTTTGTTCCCCAATGCACAGGAATCTGGTGTCTTAAGAAGCAAGGCTTCTACCTGCCCTTGTCAGTGACCCCCTTAGTGTCACACAGAGAATCACTGAATTGTGGACCAAGTCCTCAATGAAACCTTATTATTATGGATTTTTAAAGATTAAATGGCCAAGTTACTTAAATAGTATAAGACTTGCCTATAAGTTACTTTCCTTTTACTCAAGAGGTATGTCAGCTCTGTAACCTGTTTGAATGTCTTGCTCATAGCCAAGCAGTTCAGTTACTATGTTCAATTCAGGTTCTGTCTGTTTTACTTCAGTTGTACTAAACGTAGTTTCTTGCTTAACTTCTGAAATGAGCCTTAACATCATGCTGTAATTCAGCTGACACAAAGCACATGGTAAGAAAACATCACTACAGTAAGAGTTGGTTTTTTTTTAATACTCAGGACTGAGTAGAAAATACCAACTCTCAGGAAAAGAGTATGCAATTCTTTTTTCTAGGAGAAAAAGTAATGGAGGTTAGGTTAAAAGTCTTCAGCATTTTAGGAATTGCAGGAAAAGTTATGTAAGACCATTCAAAAGCACAAGTTTTGTAATGGTTTTAAGCTTTTCAGCACTATAAATATGAAAATAGCTTGTACTCAGAAGCAGATCAAGTAAAAAATCTGCTGCTGCTACATTAGCAGTTTTTTAGGGAACCTTTACTGCTAACGGAAGTGAAAATATGTGCTAGCAGGCAGGGCTGGAGAAACTCTAACAAATACCCCATTTTGTACCAGGTATTTTGGCTAAAAGGGGTGGGTTCAAGTACCAGGAATGGAGTGGGACCCAGAGGCAAAAGCTAGGAGAGATTTACAGGGCAGCTGCTTGGGTTTAGACTGAGTTCTACTGGAATGACAACTACCGAGTCTCTGCTGACTCTCACAGTCTACAACAAAACAGGTGCAGCTGAGCAGTGTTGATCTGTTTGCTGTAGCAGTGATGGTGTAACTGAGAAGGTACGTTATTTCACAGTCCCAGGGTTAAAACTGCTCATATTTAAGGGGAAGGTTACAAGTATAAATTTTACTTTTTCCACCTTAGAAAAATCTGGTTCTGGAAAGCAGAACTTTCAGTAGGCTGAGTATTCCAATCGACAGCCTTGCACAGGATTAGGTAGTTTGTTTATGTTTCGAAGGCCAATCTGCATGTTCTTAGCAGTGTTGCAGCACAGCTGCAAGTGTTTAAGCGCCTTTATAATTGAAGCTTAGTAATCTTCCCATCTGTAAAAGCTAAGTGATTAGCCATTACTGAAAAACTGCATCTGACGTTTTTCCCATACAGTATAATTCCAAGGATGGTAACCTGCTTTATACTGAAATAAGCCCACTGACAGAACTGTTCAGACTGCTAGATCAAGGCAAGTATTTACCTACATACACAGCTTGAAGATCAAAGTTGTGTGATGCTTCTTATCTTCAGTAACCTTATCCATGGCTTGCATACTACAGTGAAATACACTTGTTTTGTGGTAAGTATTCACAATTTCTTTCCCCTTCTAACCATGCTATCTATACTCAAAGTTTTTTCATCCTCAGAATATAAGTAGTTCACTTTCAGTGACCCTTAATGTACAATTTAGTTATTTTTTTTTACCAGGTGAGAAATTGAAGAGAGGAACACTCCTTGCCTCTCTTTTCTGTATGATGGTGGCTAACATGCTATGGGGTAACTCTAGAAAAAAACCAAAGTCATTCATGTTAGGCCAGATAACTTAATCTCACAGAATGTTTTATTGCCAGCACAAAACTATAGACAACATGCTACCAGGCAGTAACGAGGCATTAAAATTAACAGTGTGCAATGTGAGTTATTGAACACTTCTGCAGCAGTCTTAATTCTAATTTAATGCAAGGTGAATTCAACATTTGTTGTATATTTAACATTACTGACTTTGAACTTTGCAGTAAATGCAGAACTCAAATGCACAATTGCATACACTATTCAATAAAGCAAAATCCAAAATGTATCATAAATAAGTATTTTATAACTTTATTAAACTCAAGACATGACAATATTCAAAATACAAAGTGAATTATTTTTTATTCAATACTGTACATGATGCAGAAATATCAGTGCATTTCTATAGCATGTATTTCACCTTCATTTAGTTTGTACTAAAACAAATAAAAAGTAAGCTTTAAAATAGCTCAAACATCTCATTCAGCAGTTTAAACTGTAAACAGCTTGTTCACTTCTGTTAGGAGGAACACATTCATCTTCTGTACCCCCATTAATGAGCACCCTTTCTCTTGTGCTTTTCTGTAAGAGGATAAATGTAACCAAAATGAGCATGAGAAACTGCTAATGTGGCACCTCAGTGAACTTCAGTGGATGGCTGAGGCACAGTGAAGAAAAATTAAACAGCAAGAAGCAGCATCAAAGCAGCAAGAGACGGGACTGACACTGTTCATAAATGGAATCATGTTTTTCCCTCATACCCTCCTCCTCCTCCCCTAAAATACTGAACAGAAACCAAAACACAAGACCAGCTTGTGCTGTGTTTCTGTATTTAATACAGTCAGAATTTCAGACTCTAGGTGAGCACACAGTTGTTACTGCCTACCTGACAGCAACCGTGTGGCTGCTCAGGACACTCTCACACGTATCTAGGATCCAGCAGGAAAAGAGCAGCAGCAGAGGCTTAGCAATAGCTGGTCCAAGTCTCTTCTAGGAAAAACTGCAAAACTGAGCCAAGTGTGTCTAGCAAGTGAATCCACAAAACCAACTCACTTTAAAAGTCTATTAGCATCAAATTAATTTGTAAAATAGATTAAACTTTCAAAATGTGCTTCCAATATGCCTGCCAAGTCTTGAAGTGGGTATCAAATCTTGCAGTTACCTTCTTATCAGGCTGACATAGCCTAGTCAAAGAGAACAGAGTCTGTTCTCAGTACGGTTACTGTATAAAAGAAAATACCCAATACAAAAACTGTACTGCATTACTTGGTCTGTTGTCTGCTTTATAAGTGACTCATCAGCAAAGCTCGATTTTAATTTTTTTTTTTTTTTGATAATGTGACTACCAAATACGTTCATCTAGGTAGCATACAACTGGCCAGCTGTGACTACTATCCCTCCATGTTTCTTTGTATGGGAACTTTGTAGGTTTTCAGCTTACATACCTAGACAAACAAAAAGAGTCTTAAGAAACATATCAAATATATGCAGCATAAGAGGACTTTACGATCCACTTTCCAGTTCTCAGAGGTCAAACTGCTCCTACTTCATTATCTGAGAACCATAAGAACTTTGTAACATGATAAAGTTCAGCTCCATCCTGAACAACTGAGCTGGGACTGACTGTGCTCCCAGAAACTACGGGGAAACCACATAAGACAGGTGTTTTCGTTTCAGGTGACCACCTATGTCCATTCTGGGTTTTGAGTCCAGTTTTGTCGGAGGTGAGGTGGCTGTGCAGTCACCAGACCAGGACTGAACCTCAGTGTTAGAGCTCCTTTCTTCTGCTTCTCTGAAGAATTTCTCATACTTGTCCAAATATGGAGGCCTTTCAGGTAGCAGATAGTAGTGTGTTGAACTGGCCTTCTTACCATTTTCAATAATTGGAAGAATGCAAGGGACCCTGTTTGAAGATCCTTCACTATTTTGTCTTTGTAGAGCTTTGCTGCTGACATACTTAGGATCAGGTGCAAAACTCTGGGTGGGGGGCATAACCCCATTGAGGTATGATGGGAGGCTTTTGGGACTCGGGGTACGGGAATTGCTGTGTGACAGAGGTTCTCTTGGGGGTACTTTTGGAGGCCTGTCTTCATCGCTGTACGCGCTAGAAGCAACTTCTGCTGACCACCTTCTGTAGTCTGGTTTGAGCGCCCTTGGAGGTATGGGAACCCTTGGTGGAATCTCTGGTTTATCTTCATCAGAGGTTGGAGAAGACCTGTTTAAGTGTCCAGATAGTCTTACTATTGGTTTATTAAGAGATCCAGCTGGCCCAGAATGGGACCTTCGCAAGCGTCGATGCAGCTGCTGTGGAGGAGGGTAAATACCGGATATGTATACATTTAGGCTTTGTGTAGGGTTGGAATCTTCTGGTTTTGGTCCTGCTGGAGTATCAAAGTATGCATAGTTGATCTGTCCACAGCCCCTAAAGCTCCGCCGACTTGGAGCACTGGCTTTAAAAGGAGGAAGTTCATAATCTTCTAACAAAAAGTCAGTATCTGAGCTAGTCAGGAATTCCACTTCTTTGTCAACCTCATCTGAAGCAAGGTCTTCAGAAATAGGTAGAGGGGGTAGAGGCCTGGAGCTACGATCATTGGAAGATGCAGACAGAAATTGAATTGGTCCATTTTTTATTGCCATGTGAGGTGTTTCTTCAGAAACACAGCTCATGGTTAATGACAGTTTACTAAAGCCAGGAACGAGATGGTCTTCATATCTTGAAACTGTCAGTTCACTTTTGGGACTTACAGGAAGTGGACTGGATTTCTGAGATGGGACTTGGATGCAACTTTCAGCAATGTGGTCATTCATGGAAGCCTGGTTGGAAGAGTGCCCTAAAAAGGTGAAAAATTCTTAGAGACACTTTTCTAAGTAACACTTTAGCACATGACTTTACCACTGCATATTTAATTCCTTCTAACGCAACAGTAAGTAGTGTCTGTTTAATAACTACAGTAGTGAAATGTAGGTATTACAGATCTCTTCTGGTCATGGATTTATGCTTTAGTTAAGATAGCAGCAGATTACTTTATTGTTTCAGGCCAGTGCTCCAGTTAAATGAGGTAGTTCAAGAGACCCCATGCATAAGCAAGAGAGAGCTACAGCTACAAAGATCTCAGCATAGGACTACAACAGAACAAGTGCTATTTTAGTAAATGGTTTTTCTGTCAGAAGTGTAATGGCAACTCGAAGGCATCATAAGTACAAGGAAAAGGTGTGTCGGAGTGTTTTTGTTTGTTCGAACTTCATCATGTTATTTAAAAGTGGGTTTTTTGGTTGGACTTGAATAGGAGCGTTTTCTTGAAATGCTCCGTTCTGGCACCGGGGGGCGCCCGTCGCAGCCAGGGACGGGTCTGCGTCGGGCCCGGAGACGGACAATCCACTGCACTTCTAAACACTCGTGTGTCAGTCTTTTATACTCACCAATGGATGGCAAATGCTGCTCTGTCGATGGACCTAAATTATATGCCACTGCTATAGGGTCCACATTAAAGAAAGTACTAAAAAAAAGAAAAAAAAAAGCCTTCACTGTAAACAAACCATAGGTCTGTCACCAAATACAAGTATTCATCATACTCATTTTATATACTTGAAGATGCAACAGATTAAAATTTTAGCCTCACTCACTTTTCAAATCCACTGTGGCTACCCCAGCAGGTTTTCAAGCTCCCCATGCCTTGACTAGTGTGAAGAAATCCAGTTTTTAATGGGACTCTCATCTCCTGAGCAGCAACTCCTGCAGTTGACATTGCGGAGCGTTCTCTGGTGATGTCTCACAACCTTAGATATTCAGTACTTGACAGGTTTCCTGCGGTTTTCATTCCCTTCAACAGAGAAGACATAAATATCAGAAATGCAAATCTGATGATTTCATCTCTCATCTGAAATTTCAGTATTCAAATAATTAAACAGCTCGGTAGAAAGGCCTTCTGTCCTACTTGCCAATAGAAAAACCTGACCAAACTTCTTGCTTTGAGTCTATCTGTAAAACTGAAGTAAAAAATAGGTAAGTTCTCTTAGAGAATTACACTGTATAGAAAAAACCCCACGTTCAGTAAAGCTATTGATATATAGCAACTGTGCATCAACAACACTTCAGTTCTTGTACGTAAACTACTAGTTATTAATACAAAAAAGGCTTTTAAAAAGTTTTCTAGAACAATCTATTTAACTTTCTAATTGCTATCTATCTTTAGTTTTATCTTTTTGCTAAAGAGTTTATAGTTTCCAGTGTAGCCAACAAATAACAGCCTAGTCTGTTGTTAAGTATTACCTTCCATAGCCTTTGCTCCAATAAACAGAATTACTGACTACTTGAACTGGAATTCTAAGACTTCTTTTATATAAAGCAGTAAGCATTAAGATACTTTAAAACAGCCTCAAGTCTTCTAGCTATTTCAAACAAATCAGAAATCTAGTGATTTGAAATAATCGCCACTGAAACCATACTGCTGCATTCAGATCTATTTTGAACGTGTGGACAATGCTTTATCTGGCCCTTTTACAACAGAAAAAATGTGTTGGCAATTACTATATATTGAGTAAGTAATCAGAGTCTAAGGAACAAACTGACTCACTTGGCTTTGCTTAGGAAATTCAGAAAGGATTATTGGGGAGGGGAAGGGGCAGTGTAAAATTAGTCAGCATCATGAAGGCAGGAAAAATTAAGTCCAAAACTATAAGCCAAGATGTTCTATGGGTCTGTGCTTCATCTACACAAATAGCCTGATTTCAGCAAGTACAATATGGTGCTATATGGTTGTTTAAAAACACACACACACACACACAAACCCTACCAAACCAAACCCCACCGAAACCAGTTTAATTTGTATCTCCCTTGAAAATCAATATGACCATATAATACTAATGTGAACTTCTCCACACCCCTCCTCCAAAAGAATTCCGCCAACAGCTGAGGGCCAGCTCCTGCATACTGGCATACCTGTCAAGAAAAACCCTCACAGTATGGTATTGCAGTGGGTACAGAAACAGCTAATAGCTTATGCTTATGGTAAATCCGTTCTAAACCAGGCTTTCTATGCAGATGTGTAACCTTCCTTTTCCTTTAGGAGGAAAGATCCATCATACCTACTTGCAGCACAAGGGATGGGCAGACTCGTAAACAGGACTATAACCAGGTGCCCTGGGATTAGTTTGCAGTCCAGCACCACTATTTGCCATTTATAAACAACTATTTGAGAAAGACCAACTCTGCTATGCTTTTCCAAATTTGAATTGGGTCTAGTATTGATCATCTTAAGAAAAGAGTATATGCAAAATAGCTTCTGACTGTATGCATGTTTGTGATGTGCGAGACCCAATCGCATTCTCTTCAAGAGTCTGATGGTTTTCTTGATCATGACTTTCAGTGATCACCATTGTGTCAACAGAAGTGGGATTTTTTAATTCACTGCCAGATACCCCGTATATTTTAGTCAGGCATTTCAGAATAACTCTAGACAGGAGGCTTTCATAGAAGTGAATAGGGGATGAACCAGTGCTCTATCTGCTGCGGCATAGTCCTACCTCATTCAGCCCTCCTGATTTTAGTGAAAACCATGTTCTTCTTTTCAGACAACCTCCTTAAAAAGCTAGTTTAACGCTGGAAATTTTTGTATAACGCAGTTAAATTGGACCCTTCCTGGTAATAGGAATTGCAGATTTTCATCATGAAACTAAATATAAACATACAGCCCCAGGAAGCAATAACATAGTTCTGTAAGTACAAGCAGAACCATTGTTTATGGGGGAGCAGAACACTAGAGGAACCCATTTGTCAAAATGACTTAAGCAGCATAGTACACATATAGCACCAATTCTAAAATTACTTCTTAACATGTTAATGTAACTTGCAAATAAAACATCCATCTTATCAGCTCACACTGTATTGAGCAATGATTTTTTATGCCTCAGATCCTATCCCATAGCAACAAATCTGCAAAAGAAATGAAGGAGAATGAATAAGTGAGCTTAAGGTTAATGCCTACTGTCTATTTCGGTATTTCTGAAGTCAAATGCAAGTTACAAGTAAAAAAAAATCACTGGTACAAAACACTGATCAGGCAGCAAATGATAGTACTCCACTTCAGCACATGTGCAAGACCTGACAAGACCATGAGCAAGACATTGATTAAAATATAAAAAATCAGACAGGGGGAACAACTGCTGTAGTTTGAGAGCACGTGTATTGAGCTAACATACAACCCTTGCAGGGCTTATTAAGAGGCCCAACCTCCACCAGTTCCCATGCCAAAACCACTGCAGGTAATTACTGTGTCAGCTTCCCAAATGCTGTATAAATCTCAGCTCTCAAGACTGATGGTTGCACAATCACCTCTCTGATATCCCTCTGGAATGCTAAGGTTAACATCTAAAATGACATATATTTACATACTCTAGGAAAAGGTAATTTTCACTTGTTTCAATCAGTCTTTATTTTTTAAACATACAGACAATTTTTGCAGCCATACAACTTGCTTCATTCTAAAAATAACCTCTTTGCGAATTCACAGAAGGTGATCTGCCTTGACATTTCAGAGTTATGAAACTATCCCGAGTGCCTTAAGCTAGGACTATCAAGAGAGGTAGTATTCTTTCAATAAACCACCTAGTTACTTTCTCAGTGGAGTCTAAGAGAGTTGTTGCTTATATTTTAAAACATGCATAAGCTTGTTTGAAGACATAGTATCTTAAGAGGGAGACATGTAACGTAATTGAGGAGTACAAACTGTATTTTAGACAGCACACTCTTACTAAAGCCGAATAGTACGTATTGTATTCTAGTAATTGGCTTTAAAAACCAGTAAAATTTACAAAAGTCAGTCATGAAGATATAAATATCAACAATTCTCAGTGTAACTGCTGTCCCAATCCTGCCTCCTTAAAAATTTAAGGATCTGAACTTAACCATAAATAACATCAAATTGTATTTGCTAAAGAAAATGGACACTACGCAGTAATGAAGCATTCTTGATCTCACACTCGTGTGCTGCTCATTTGCACAGAATGGGTTTCCAGTTACTCTGCTTGTCTGGCCTAGTTATGCATCGATTATGGCACTTAGGAAGACTGAAGCACTTTTGAAGAAATGGAGTTCACACTGAAACTATAGCTAGTAATTTCTACAGGGCAGATACAAGCCAAGGCAATTCAAAGATTTGTTGATGCATTAGGAAGCTACCAACACCGTTCATTGTAAGGCAACAGCACAAAGGAGACACTTTTTAATTGTTCAGGTCTGTTTGCATTAACAAATATGAATAATACTAAATATTGGAGATTAATTTTTTTTTTACAAGGCCAAATATACTTTCAAACTTGAACTAGTGAGTGATGAATAACAGGATAGCTGTGTGTAAGCTGAAAATGGTCAAATGTATCCATAAACAGTAGGGTATGTACATAATGATATCTACAATGTATATGGGAATATGTGGAAAAATTTTTGTGGTGAGTTACAGAAAACATCACAAATGTGCAGTTTTCATACAGATACATATCAATAAACACTTGCATTACAACAACAGTAATCCTCTTAGAAACTAAGAAGCACTTGCATATATTTTAGCTCAACATCTATCACTGATCACACACAGAATCATATTACTCTGTTCCCTGCTCTCCCAGTCCCAATGCAGCCAAATATTTGAGGCAAGTCAAGTTCATAATGAAGAAAACCTTCCTGGTACGCACAGTAGACCAAAGCACACTCTAAAATGTTTCACTAAATGGGGATGGAATACAGCAATTTGCTGTACAGATTTCTGAATGCCTGTAAAAAATTTTGGACAGATTTTATAAAGGCAACACTCTTGAAGAGAAGCTGAGATACGTCTTGTAAGAAATGGGAAAGAGGGAAAGGAAAAAAAAGTAAGACCTAGTTACCCCTTCTGGGAGGGGAAGAAATGTGTCTACCTTAAATCCACAACCTATTTTTGCTCACCTTGCCACCACATTATCTTTAACAAATCTCAGAAGCAATTCACAGGAGGAGGGGCACATTTTTGCACTACAAGTCATCCACTCCAGCTAGCTGTTCCTTATTTGACAAGGTGATGTAATTTCCTTTTTCTCCTTTGACTTTCTATTTAACATAAGTACCTGAGATAGAGGTATCCCTTTTAATATTTAAGCATTTCAGACTTCCAATTGGACTTTAAAAGCTTAAGAGCTGTTAATATACTTTCTGGAACTCCATATACTTAAAAAAAAAAACCACCTAAAAATTTCTGGTTCTCTAGTTCTCCTATCATCCCTTAAGTACTTCTGTCTGTGCAACTAGATGAATGCTGAGTAACTGACACCTAGCAGAAACAGCCTCGTGAGAAGGTTAGTTTAAATCTACTAATAAATAATTAGATCTTATTTACTATGCATCAAACCTCCATAGTGCAGGTCAGTATTCCTGAGTCACGGGCCAAATCATGCCCTGATACGGGCCTCAGAAGATTTTTCCATTTATAGGAATTATATTCTTTACAGTTATTATGTAAATGAATTGCATTCTTAACTTCCAGATACTTTTCTACACATTCTGCCAGCCAGAAATAGACCCTTCTGTTGCAAAGAATTTAAGACTATGATCACTTAGTAACTGCTCAAATCATAGGTGACTGCAAATAAAACTAATTCTACGGGTATACTCCAGACAAATCAACTGAACAGCAGACAAATTATGTATTTAGACTGTAAGTCAGCTAGTTTGAAATACATTCAAAGAACCACAGTTCATCAAGGAGTTTAAGTTCACTTAAAATTTGGGCTACCATTTCGCAGTCCTGCACAGCAAATGGGAGGAACCTGTAAATCGCCAGTAGAAAACTAATAATTAAATAGCAAGACAATTGCCTTGCCTCTGTTTGTCAGATTTCAGATGCATGCTTAAGGTATGGTACTTCACCCTCCTGAAAATTTTAATGTGAATACAGACAGCTTACATTCAGGAAATAAAAAATTCCTTTATAGCTGACTCAGAGTCATAACCATAGTGTTAGACACAGTGTGATAACTTTTAATTCTGTTTTCCACTGCAGAGAAGTGGAACTGTTTTCCTCTGAAATAATTCTTATACTGCAGAGGATGACAAAGGGCTTCACCAAGGACATATTCCCCTTCTCAAAAGATAGGTTTCTATTTTAAAAAGGAAAATAGAAAATTATCCCACATAGGTAAAGAAAACAAGGTCTGTGCATAAAGTAATAAAGGTAAATTGAGCAGTTTAACTAGATTATAAATGCAATTCACAAATGCATTTCACCTGTCATTCCAGTATAACAAACATTCAAGTATTCCCAAAATGACCACAGATCTTGCCCCCAGAGCCTTTTCTATCCAGTTTATTAATATGTAATGAGGTATTGTTATCTTTAGATCAAGTATAATAAACTTTTTCTTATTACTTCAGAATACTGCACAGGCCCCTTAGTCTGTGCACTAGTGACAGGAGACCACTGAAGTCTCCAGAGCCCCCCGGCCTGCTCGCTCTGCGTGTCACAGGCTCTGCGCGTCACAGGCTAGAGAGACGCACGGTCAGTACTGGAAGGGTACAGCGATGTCTCCAGATTTACCATCACAGACTGACTATTTTAGAAAATCGAGGATAACTGTGTAATGGGGTGGTAAGTCACAAAGAAATGTTTATTCCAAATTAAGCCATCCTAAATTAGAGTGCGAAGCACAGAGTTCAAGCCCAGAGTACGGTCCCCTGTTACTCCCAGGAGCGAGACGAGCACTGATACTGTTTCGGGTCAGGAAGAAAACGCGTGGCACGCCACGCTGATTTCCAAGAATGTGGTTACGGGCTTCGCTGACCCCGGGCGGGTCCCATCCCCCCTAGAGGGACTCCTGCCGCGGTAGCGCGCCCAATCCCACCGCGGCGAGCACGGCGGCGGTCACACCCGACATCCCCCCCCGGCAGACCCCCGTGGGTAAACGACGCCGCGGCGGGTCTGGCCCCGGTGGCCCCCCAACCCCACCCCGGCAGCACAAGGGCACCAAACGCGCTCCCGCTCCTCCCGCGCGCGGCCCGGCCCGGGGCCGCCGCCACCCACCGGGCCCGCCGGCGTGGGCCGCGCCGCGCCTCCGTGCCCGGGGCCCGGCCAACTCCGGCACCGCGACCCGCCCGACCCGCGTGTGCAGCCGGTAGCCGCCCAACCCACCAGCCACGGCCCCCGCTCTTCTCGCCAGCGGCGGGGCCCGGCGCGGCACGGAAGGGGCGACCCCGAGCCGCGGCCAAGCGGCCCCGGTGCGCGGGCACGGGGCCGGGGGGCGCCGCCGCCATGTGACTGCGGGGCGCGGGCGGTGCCGCCGGGGCCGTCACTCACCCCGACAGTGTCGCGCAGCTCCGCGCGGCCGCCAGTGCCACACGCATGCGCCGCGACTGCGCCCGGTCACTGCCGCGGCGCGCGCCGGCCACCGCCCTTATAGCGGGGGGCGGAGCCACCGGTGACCCCGCCCGACGCCCGTCGCTTTTGTCAGGAAAAGCCTTAAAGGGGCCGCGGCCGCGCGGGGCGATGGCGGCGTTGAGGTGTGTTGTGTAGCCCTGCTGGGAGCGGGGGCTGTAGCGGTCCCCGGTGGCAGTCTTGGCCCTGGCAGCGCTGCTCCGGCCGCCTACGGGCTCAGCGAGAGCAATGTTCGCCAGGCGGGCTCCGCGTGGGGCTGGAGAACCGCTGGGGACCGCGGCGAGCCCAGAAGCTCGCGCTCGGTCCCGCAGAGCGGCGAGTGGCGAGGCGGCAGCGCCCGCCCAGCAGAGGCTGCTGTGGCAGCGCTGTCCCTGCGGCGGCTGTTCCACCGAGCAAACGGAATCCTTCCTGCCCCGGCCGTCTGCTTGGCTTTCCCTGGTCGATTTTTTAGGGGAACTGCCCGCTGCCCGCCGCCTCCGTGTCTCACTGGGTCCCCGCGCCCTCGGGGATGGCGGCAGTTACTGGTTCCGTTGCGACCCTGGCCTGTCCGGGTCCCGTTCCCAGCGCAGGTGTCAGGGCAGCTCACTCCCGCTCAGCTGCTGCTCTGCGGGAAGCCTCGCGAGCAGTTCCGCGGGAAGTGGCCCCGCGCGGGCAGCAGGGGGCGCTCGCTGGCCCGACCCGGCCTGCACGGGCGGTCCCGGGGCGCGCGGCCCGGACCGTGAGGGAGGTGCGGCTGAGGAAAGGAAGGAGGAGAGCAGACAAGTGCAGGTTTGTGGTTTCGATGAACTGGGGCACACTGTTAACTAATGGTGAGACTTCACTGTGGTTTTTATTCTGGGCACATGCTGGTGATGGTGGCTTGCGCTGAACTGTACCTGCTCAAAGACTTCTACCAAGTACTTTGCTATACTTCTGTTGATCTGGACTTGAAGACTGCGACTTATTGTTTCTGTGGATAACCTGTGTATGCTTATCTTAAGTTTAAATTGTCCTGTTTGTATATATGTGTTTAGGAGAAAGTAGTCCTTTTTTCTTTTTTTTCTTTTGATTCTGGTCTGTTGATGTACATACACACCGATAGTGCAAATAGCCCTGGATGTTATAATGAATGGATATAAAGGACAAAGTTGTCTTAAAAATGTCTTACTGTTGACTTCAGTAGGACGAACTCCTGCAGTGCCTCTATGGTGGAACATGAGGAATAATAGATGTTTGGCTTTTTTAGTTATTTATGCCTGAGAATTTTTGATCCAGGAAGAGGTCTTTCTGACATTCCCTGCAGATATTACCCAGTGGTCCCTGTACTTCTATCAGCAGTCCAGGTTTTATTCCGTTAGATAACTTAGGAGTTAGTTCATGTGCATGTAATGGTATGGAATTTTTCTCTCTTACTGTTAAATAGCTTTACCTATGGCCTTTTTTCCCTAAAACCCCACTGCCTTAAGTTTCTCATTGTTCTACTGATGAGAATGTTTGGTAATGGTGTCACAATAGTTTCTGTTCTGAGGGGAGGACAGAGGAAATTGAATTCTGCACCGACAGTTACATTCCCATTTCTCACCTTTCTTTGCAACCACCTCACAGTTCCGTAGGCATGTGTAAACCACTTTTTGCAATTTGCTAAGTGTCCCAAAGACTAACTTCTAAGTAATCTTGGACACTCTGATTGGTTAATACTAGTTAATAACAAGTTTGCTAAAAAAAGCCAGCTCGGGTAGTATTAAAAGATGCTTTAAACCTCTATTGTACCCAGTTCTGGAGATGGATAGCAGACTGATCTGTATTTAATAAATGAAATGTCTGAATTCTATGAAAAAAAGAATAGCATGGACTTTCATTCATGATACTACCTTTCATTCAAGGATTCTCTTTGCAGAGGGGAATCCTAGAGATATTGGATGTCCTTTGATTAAAGTTGTCCTATTTCTGGCTTGCTTTGCAGCCTATACCTTTTCACTGATCTCAGTCCCCTTGATGCTTCCTGTTTTAAACACTTAAATTTTTCATTTGCTGCTTCTGTTTGTTTTGAGAGAAGAAAAGCATATGTGTAAGCAGCAGCTGGAGAAGAAAAAGGCAAAGTCTCTTTAGGAAGATAGAAAATTACAAAAGTAAAATTTCATACTGAAAGACTAAATGGAAAACAATAGATATTTATTTTTAATATAAAATGTCAGCTAGAGCTCCTGTACAGTCGTTCTTTAGATGGTTGTGATTTTTTTTTTTTGTAAGCCCACTTCCATAAACAACAACTTTTTTTTACTGTAGGTGCTGCTGTATTATTGCTTAATTATACTTATTTCTGGTAGATGTTCTTTAGCAGGAAGCTTGGGGGTTTTTTTTCAATGCTTTCTGGTAAGCACATAAGGGGCCTCAGTCCCAGCCCAGGTGGTGCGAGGGTGACTGCCAGAGTGGCTCCTGGATGGTCAGACAGGGAAGTTTCCTTAACATACTCTATAAATAAACAATTTTATCAAAAGATCAGGCTATAGCATTTTACCTTTAATAGCTAAAAATGATAGAACAAGCCACAGCAAAAGGCACAAAGAAACAAGGAGCTGACTGCTACCATTCTTTCCAATCCTGGTGAAGCCTACCATCCAAATATGACTGTAAAAGACTGATGACTTCTAAGCTTACCAATACAAATACACAACAGCTATAGATGCGGACAATATTTAGTTATTTTTCAAGAGTTCCTGTTTGGTCCTGACAAACAAGATTTGGCCACAACAATCCACGAATCTCATCTTGGCAATGCAACACGGTGTGCCTGGAGATTGACTCAGTGGGCGTAGGGCCGCAGCAGTCTGTGCTGCAGTACATCAAATCACCCAGGACTGGCTCCTTCCACAGTCAGCCTATCTGATCTAATTTAATTACCTTACCTCGGTGTCTTTGCTAAGTAATTAATAAACTTTACCTTGTGCAAGGACCAGTTCAGAAGCCCCTATGAGGTAGGGTACAACAGCTCAAGTGGAGCACTATGCTATACTATTCACATGGCCTCTAGTTGTTTTGAAGAGACACCTCAACCTGCAAAACACTGTGTGAATGCATCCAATAGTTGGCAGGCCACTTAGCTTTGTCATAAAGACAACATTTATCTATGTAGTGAGATGAGCACAACAGAAAAAGAACACTGAGAAAGAAAAAACGTGGTAGACAAAGGTAAGACTGTTCTTGTGAAGGATGAAAAGGGACTTCAGCAATGCTGCAGACCCTAACGCTGCACATGGGTAGATTCCAAGAAATTCTCTCAAACTGTCATTATGCTCAACACTACCCTTGTGTGAGATACTGTGCCTAAAGGGCATAAAAACACAGCTGAGCCAGTCAGCTGATAGCGAGCCCTCTGGCTGTGTAAGAAAGGAGATGGGATGCAACAGGGTAGACTGGGATTTGAGTCAGCTCCTCTGCTGATGTGCCCAGCATCCTGTTCCAGTGGAACACCTCTCGACACTGCCCTAAAAGCATACAATCTAACGGACTAAGTGAGCTCTGGGTATTTCACCACTAAAGCTTGGCTTCCTGATGACCAGTTTACATGCACAGTTCACATGCCTGAGAGCAAGAATGAACTCAGTTTGGGAGGACCACATTACAATGTCTCTACAGCAGCAGGACGGATGTAACATTTCTGCAAGGCATTCAAATATTACAGAATGGATGGTAAAAAACAGATGTGGCTGTGGCCATTTCTGGGAAACAAAAGTGTGAACAACCAGCTATTTTTAATTTATCGAGTTCCATTCCAGTCTAAGCTGCTACAGACTGTGTCGATATTTGTGTCCTTTTTTGATCTCTTCCCTCACTCAGCTTATGCTTATGTGCTGAAAAAATCTGAGCACATGATTACCCCATCCAGGCAACATGCCTTTGAAATGGCTTTTTAATCTAGACTCTCCACTCCCTGACGGACTGAATTTTGCAGTATGTCTGTATTCGCTGTCTAGACACTTGAATATGCTAACCTCTAATTTAGCTCTCCTTTACTGACCCATGAATTTCCTCCCTGCTGTGGGTCTTCTGGCTAAACTGGAAATGCAACACACTCATTCTGCCCTATACCTGGCTGGTGCAACTGCATTCATACAAATCTGACCAGTGAAGTATGTACATGTTCCTCATTTACAGAAATGAGGAATCCTTACACTAAAAGTTTTGTAGCACTCTCCTAACCCTGGTCCCTTCTTTGTGTCTCCAAACTCAAAGACCAGCATAGTCCTTTCCTGAAAGGGATACATCTGCAGAGACAAGGACATGATCTTATAAGCAGAAATAAAGAATTTCATACCCAGTTATGCAGACAGAAAACAATGGAAGAGTCCAACTGAAATATGAAAGGGAATGCAACATACAGATGTATCCCAAAAGCAGCCATACTGCCTCAAATCCCAAGGTCCACCTAACCCAATATTGCCCTAGTATGGGGGGAAAAAAGGAGATAAATGTTTAGAACAGTGGGCAACATCCTCTCACAATTCCCGGACGTCTGATGCAAGGCACTTTCTCTATAGCCTTGTGGATTTTTCTCTGTGACTAGTTTTTGAATAAATGGCATTTGCAGCATTCAGACAGAGATGTAATCAATGTACACAGACTAGAACTCACAAAAGCCATGCTGTATATCCACTTTTAGATAGTATGTTTGCATCACAAACCACTTCCATATGCCTGAAGCATAAAAGATTTGCTATCTGTGTCAGTTTCTAGAGATGGCTTAAGAGGCAAATTAGCATTATCCAATTGCTTTAAAGTCTTATAGAGGGACAGTTCACACAAAGACTGAGTAATGGCTCCTGTTCCAAGCTGAAATTCAGTATCAAGTCTGTACAGTTGTATAATACCCTAGCATTGTATGTAACCCTTTCATGCAGGATTCTGCACTGCTAATTTCAGAATATCCTTAAACTCGTTGTCTCTGCCCCCTCCCTGCACACCTATGCTTCTCTATCCCACAGCAAGTACCACAGTATACCATACAAGCATGACTGCTTGTAATTTAGACAATATGATTCTTCCACTTGTGTACCAGCACATCAGTTTACAACTCCTGCATCACAGTCTATGACTTGCTGTCAGTTCAGTGAGACTACAGCAATTCTAATGCGTCCCGCATGTGTTGTGTTTTTCCCCTCAAATTAATATGCTCAAATTGATTTCCCTCACTTTAGGGTGATAGATGTTCAAAACTTATGTAACTAAGAATTTTATTCTCTACCTAGTTTGTTTACATTATCATAACACATACATCACTAGAGAAAGAGAGTACCACCAGACTCCTTAACCTGAACATTCATATGTAGATTCACTCTCTCAGGCTATCACAAAATAAAAGTACCTGAATAAGATAAAATGCAACCACGTAAGGATTGCACACAGTTTAACTCCTACTGTGCACATCTTGATTCTGATTGAGATAAAGACTGTGATTTTTGTGAAAGAGCCACAAGATAACTAATTTCGTTTGGAAGTCAGTATCCAAGCCAAAGCCGATGTGTTGAAGTTAAAGAATTAATTAAACTCTTTTAAGGATCAGGACGTCTGAGACTCTGCTGTGGGAAACCTGGGGTGGAGCCTGTGAGGAAATCTGGTTTGACTGTGTCAGTGCGGGGGTGCAGCTGCAAAGGGGCCTTGGTTCCAGCTCAGGTAGTGTGACATTAATCTATCAAATAATGATACAATTTAGGACTTCTCATGATGGAAAGATTTATTCACAGATCACCTTCTGCTTTGCTTTTTGCTAGATTTGCTTTCCCAAGCAAAGT